TTACCGATTTTTTTTCCATGTTTTTCTATTGTTTTCGCAATTGAAAATATTTTTGCTAAACCTAAAACATTCATTTTTCTTGTACACTCTCTTCCTTATTTTTCACCTTTAAAAAAAAAAAATCCATCAAAATATTTTCTTCCAGTAAACAAGAAGACACTTATCTTCATTAACAATGACAAAGACATTGAGTGCTTGGAATTCACTCTACATCAATTTGAAAGATTTGATTGGATCGATTTCTTCAAACTCAATATTCGATACCATATTGAGTTTGAGAAGAATGCGTTAAAAATAGAAATATTGCCAAGAATATTTTACATTTTAAGATAGGATTATTTTCTTTATTAGTTGATTGTGTAATTAATACTAAATCTTTCCTTTTATATTTATTTTCTTTTAATGTTATTTATAACCCTGTAAATAGGGTCTTCTATATTATAATATATAAGAATTTACATTATAATATCATTTTTATTTTTGTTTAACATCTCCTCCATTCACATGGTAATCGTTCATTTTACATTTCCAATTGACGATAGCGATGGCAAGAACTGAAAGCAGTTGGCAACGGGTTACTGTTTGGGTTGGTTTCTTCTGTGTCTATTTTAGAGAGGATAGAGTGACTATCGTCGTTGATTGTGTTCAACCTATCGAGGTGCAAGTGACAATGGATTTGGGTTTGGAGAGAGAAGTCGTGAGTTGCGGGGTGTTCTGGTGATGAAAGTGATGGATTGTGGGCTGTCGGTGCCAAGCCAGTAGCTTGGGTTTCGAAAATTAAAGGGGTAGTTGGTAGTCAATCTATGGGTGGTGATGATTGACGAAGGTCGCAACGGCCATGGATATTTGTTGCTTTTATGCAAGTATTTGGGATAGAAGAATATGGGGCCTGTTGTGTGGGCTGCGACAGTAATTAGAGCTAATAAGATGTACGAGCCAAAAGTAAACTGCTATGCTTCTCAATACATTCGCACTTACTATTACGTGCAAAAAGCAGGCTTTGTGTTATCGAATATTGATGGCAATATACATAAGTGGATTTCAATTGTCACAAGGGACACTCTTGTTTTACTTCGTTAATTTTCATATACAATTTTTTCTCTGCTCCAATGTATGTATCCATTGCTACTTTCTTTAAGGCTGTTTGGGAGCGATTTTTTCTTCTAAAAAATTGATTTTTTGACCGTTATTTCACTATTTCAGTCGTCGTATTTGACTTCTTCTCTCACAGGTAGATCCCACTTTTCTCCTAACAGTCAAAAAATCAATTCTCAAAATCACTCCCAAACAGGTTCTTAGTAGTTGGAGAAAGTTTTGGCATATGTTGAAACCAGATATTTTATTCTTCAAATATTTGCTCTTTTTTCAAGGAAAGAGCTCGCAAGTCCCGCAATTCTTACTAGGAGAGAACATGGAGCATATATTTTGTACACAGCCAAGAAGATTTGTTATTGTAGCTGTTGCCAGAATGGTGGCAAAAGCACGAAATTGTGAAGAAGGTGACCAAGTTGGGTATCACATTGGTTAGTCAGACCATCTCCAGCGCTGCACCAAACTAAAGTTCATCTTCAAAATTTACATCAAATGAACAGTGTTTAACAATTTTCTTCCATTTTTTCATTCTTAATAATTTATCTATTTGAAATATTATTTATTTAATTATTTTTTAAATACATACATTACTAAATAAATAATTACGTTAAATTATGGAAAAAATTAAATTCATTAATAATATAAACAATATAGTATAATTAGTAAAAGCTTTTTTTATGCACTTTTTTTATGTATCGTTGTCTTTATATAAAATTAGATTATCATATGTATGTCGTTGTTTAATATATTTCGTGTTTGTTACATTTTAATTTTTTTAATTAATTAATTAATTATTATTTCTTACATTTAAAATGTAAATAATAATAATAAAAATAATAATAATTTATTGTATTAAAAAATATATAGTACAAATGACACAAATACCTTTGACAAATTTATTTGGAAAATGATAAAAAAGTATGCAAAAGAGACTTTATACACTTTGCACCATTTTGGTGCAAAGTGAATAGTGTTGCACCAAATATGGTGGAACACTATAGTGTTTCATTGGAGTTCCGGTGCACCAAATAATGGTACATTTTGGTGTTTCGGTTCTCATATTGGAGATGCCCTCAAGGGTCCTTTTTAGCTAGGTAGTTTTATCATTGATAACTTGATTTATCTACAAAGATTTGTTATTCACTGGCCTACTCTGAGTTTTGACCCACAAAGGCTTCTTAACATCTGTTGGTTGGTATATGAATCTACTTCCTTCAAGTATTGGGCGAGGGTCTGTCGGGTCGATTTTTTATCAAACCCAAACCAATCACGCTTGGGTGGATTTGGGTTGAGTTGGTCAGTTCAGACTTGGGCCTAATTCAATTTGGATCCATTATTTTTGAGAAAAAATCACAACTACCATATATTGAGAATACAATTTCAAAAATTTCGAACTCGCAGAATTCTTTCAAAAAATCAAGTCATAAACCATATTTATCTTTTTTGACTTAAAATTTATCTCACTTTGTTGAGATTCTGTAGTGTTTTTCTAGCTTCGGACTTGTATGAAATACTATGTCAAGACTGCACTTCAATTACATTTACAAGAATTATCAGTCTTCTGCCAATTGTTTATTATTTATTGCTATATATATCAACTATTGTCACAACCTGTTTATTTCTTTCTTTGTGCCTACTGTCTGTCAAAACTCCTATAAGATATTAATAAAAGAGTTTAATTTATGATAGCTGATAGTCGAGACTACTCGTATTAATTAATACTCTTAAGCGACTGTTGGTCAGAACGTTATGTGTTGGAGTCGCACCATAATAAATTTTCTATTATTACAAACTATAGTATTTATTTAGATTTTTTTAATTTATCAATTTGGGTGGGTTGGGTTCGGTTGGGTTTTAAAACCCAAGACCCAACCTAAATACCCAACCAACATCAAATTTAATTGGGAAAATTAGACCCAATACCCTCTAAAACTGATCGATTAGAATAATACCCTAAAAATAATTAAAACTTTTACTACCGTAATGAATACGCTCAAATTGTCCCCATTTCATCAACTGCATGTCCTAAATCCTCTTCCACAGAACTACATATTTCATGTTGTTGAACCTGCATCCGAGAGTGATGGGTTTGGTGGGTCATCACGGGTCTCGGATCTTCCATTCCTGGAGACAAGGAGGCGAATTCATTGGAGAAATATCCATAATATGAAATTGAGTGGTCGGCTTTATAATTCTATTATATCTATTTGTAATTTTTCTGTAATGGGTGTTTGTCTGTCTTGAGGCTGAGCTCCGACAATGGAGTTTGTGGCAATTGCGGAGCTGAACCTTATTATTATTAGTTTTGAGTTAGTTCAATTGGTTAGCTGTTTATTTCATTTTTTACATTGTTGGCTCGAGAGAAGAAACCGAAATTCATGTTTCTTCATGTTGTTATGTAAGGTTTATTTTAAAATGAAATTATTATGAATGAAATTTGGTCCAAAGGCTTTTTGAGATTCGATGGCTATTTGTAAAATAATGTCAAATGTATAATGAGGAGGTTTATGACTGATTATGTTAAGAACATGATTATTGGTGCTGCACAAATGGGTGATGCTATTACAGTGTTTGTCGCTTTATTTTAGTCAATGTCACTTTTTTCTTTTTTTGAATTTTGTCATTTTTTAAGTGTTTGTCGCTTCATTTTTTTTGAGTCCGTGTCACTTGTTTTTTGAATCTATGCAACTTTTTTTAATTTGTGTCACTTTTTTAAGTTTGTCACTTTTTTTTTTAATTTCTGTCACTTTTTTAGATATTTGTCACTTCTTTTAGTGTGTTACTTTTTTTTATCGCGTTTTTGAAAATTTTATCACTTTTTTTAGTGACAAATTACATCATTTTTTTAATAAAAGTGAGATTGTATATCCTTTTTTAATATAAAAGTGATACTAAACTTTTAAAAGTGACATTGTGTCACATTTAAAAAAAAAAAGTGACAATTTTTATAAAAATAGTGACATTGTGTCACTTTTTAATTTTACACAGTATTTTTTATTTCAAATAAACTTTTCATATGATTTTTCAAAAGACTCCAAATTTTAAAGGTATTTTTGTAAGTTGTCTCAACCCAACTCAATCTAATTGAACTCAAAATTCAACACAAATTGATCCGTTTGGGTTGATTTTTGCCTAAGCCTACTTTAAACACCAATCAAAAGAAGATCTCTCGAAACCCAATTTTTTTCTTCCAAATGAATCAAACATTGAACTGTGCCGTAGGGTAACAACTTCCCAACATAGATTTTTTTATCTACTTTGAAGATATCTAATATGTTACGTAATTGTGATTTGGAAAATGTGAGTTCAAACGTTCACTTTGTGTTATATATTTCAGTGGATAAAGCTACAGTATATTATATCGTATGTAATTCGCTAAAATTGTGAAAAATGTTGAACAAACTCTCTATAACCCATAGTGTGCAAACGACCATCACTTGGTATTTGCAAAAGGAAATCAATGAAGTATCACCTGCTTCAAATATAAACCAATAGAATTTCTTTCTTCACACAAGAATACCATAGATATTTGTGCACCGAAAAAAGAATTGTATAAGTCTGTTCATCAGCTTAGGGTGGTGAGACACTTACTTCCAAAAATTACCTTGAGTGCTTATGTTTAAAAAAAAAAAAAAAAAAAAAAAAAAAAAAACAAAGTTGAACCCCAACCTTGAGGGCTCCCACCGCCCCACCCCTAGAGCTTTGTAAGGTAGGTAAATTGCGGGATGTGCCCCCTATAGACCAGGAAACAAGAGTTGCATGTACACTGCGCCTACAAGGAGTCCAATTTCATGTCTCAGGAATTGAACCTCTACATTACGGCTGCTAGCAAGACGTGAGATAACCTCACTCATGTCATTTACACCACTGAGCTATGTCCCGGGAGGCCTTGAGTGCTTATGTTTGTATGCTTAAATGTTGTTAACAATTGTCTTCAAGGCTAGATTTTAGCCCTATATTTTGACGAGTACGAAGGTGGGAGTAAAATGTTTCAATAATCATCAAACTTAGCACAATGTCATGATGTGGTCACTGAACTTTCATTTGCTGCTCAACGGTCACTGAACTTACAAACACGCCACTCCATCCATCACCCACTGCCCCAGTCGTTTGAACCCGTCTCATGTGGCTTGACGGCAGGCGACGTGGCTGTCAACGGCGTCAAGCTCGGCCATGGTGGACGCGATTTCACAGCCAAAACACGATCCTCTTCACCATTTCCCAATCCATAAGTCTCTCGTCCCTAATTCGAACACCCAGCCCTAGATCGATTTCCTTCAAAATCCTCCCCCAAATCGATTCTTCCACACTTGGTGAAATGGTAGATCTTCATCACCTTCACAATTACATTGGACGTAGGTCGTCTCGTCATCCTCGTCTTCCTCGCAACCACATACTGATTGTGCGTACGAACCCACATACTGGCAGGTGAAAGTTTTCAAAATGCAAAAGAGGTGAAGAGGTAACATCCTGGACTTCCATGTAACGGTCTGAATGTGAATTTATTGCCTGGTTTGAGAATGAACAATTTTTTATGTTGGAAGTTGAAGTTGATTGGCAATCTATTGCTAGCATATGAAATACAGCAATATGAAATACATTGAACAGACGGCCCCCTTTTCTGTAATGTTATTGAATTCTATTCAAAGAATTTTGATCTCTAAGGGAGCTACTACTGATAATCTTTCTGTATTGTTGGTATCCAAACATGCTCTTTAAGCTTATACTACTATCTTGATTGAGCGTAAATGTTTATACAAAAACATGTTTGGATTGAATTTGAAACATACCTTTGGTAACCAGTTCTTTTTCCTCCCCCTGTTTGGGTACACTTTTAGCATATAATATATGTTTTGGTGTTGTGTCTTGGTGTATATGGTGTTCTGTAGTAAATGGTAATTCCCATAATATACAAGCCTTGCAGTAGAAACCAATCAATGCCTGAAAAATAATTCAATTACTGCAGTTATACTGGATCCTGCCATTTTCAACTGAAAAATAATTCTGAGATTATCTTTCATTTTCAACTCTATTGAATTTATTGAAATTGGAAGTTGAAAATGAAGTGACTTTCTTATTTTCTGGGTTTTCATTCTTACATCTTGCCATTAACATTTAACCAAGTGGAAATATTATTTTTAACATTTAACATTTAGATGTAGCAGATATTCTTTTCCATGCCTGGTCAATGATATGTTTACTGAGAAACTGTAGTGGATGCCCAGTTATACATTACCTTTGCTTATTATTATTATTTTTTTATTTTTTATAATGTTAGCTACAATGGTCTAATGCATTTAGGTTGTATTCCAGGGTAAACTGGTCTCATCCAGAGGTAAGGGACCTGCTTCGACCCAAAACCCAGTTGAAGAATAGCCCATGCAATTCATGCCTACCCTGATGGTTGGAAGATCCATGCACAGGCAGAAGACAAAAATGAAGAAAATGATCGCATTTGACTGCCATTATTAAAACTTTTGGTGGACTGATTTTGTAAACATCAATGTGGATATGGGATTTAAAGTGTATTGTAGTTTTTGTTTTGTGAACAAGGATGTTAACTTTTTGCTGTTACAACAGTATATAATTCTTTGCAGTTTTTTAAGTTTTTCAGTGGAAGATGCACACTTACATGTCACGGCTTTATCTTAGAATCGTATATAATTCTTATGTAGCTTTATTTGTAATAACGCTTATGTAGCTTTCTTATTTAATGGCAAGTGATGGTTTTATATCTAGTATGATGTATGTGTGGTTGCGAGGATCGTACAGATTGTATTTTCTTGTGTTTGGTCCCTTTATACACCAAGAAGAGAGGCAAGCAAAACCATCAAGCCCACATATAGAAACTGTATGAACATGATGTTGTGGCTTGTTGGCTGAGCATGAAAACTTAACTTCTAAGTTTGCCTTTAATTATATGTTGTGGCTTGCACCACCAGAAAATAAAGCTGCTTAAAAGTTAACTTCTAAGTTTATTAATTATATACTTCTTAATAAACTGCAGTGCATCATATGGAATTTTTTAAAACTGTTGTACCAATCTGCTGTGGACTCCCAGAAAATAAGGATAAAACTTCTTGGCCAGGCCCCTGGACGTCCAGCACGCTCCAGAAAATAAAGCTGCTTACCTAAAGCTGATTACAAAATAAATCCCAGAAAATCTTTCACTAATACATGTGATTTCAACAACTTGACAGGTGATGTGGGCATACAAAAATTGCCCTGTCAAAAGTTTAAAATGTACAGCCAGCAACAAACTTAGAAGTTCTAAATAACAGGAATATTGCCATGGACAAAAACCAGTGTATTTCATTGATATCCCATCATCAAAAGGCCTACACCCAATTCACAATGCCTTGTCAAAAGTTTAAAATTTACTGCCAGCAACAAACTTACAAAAGATTACAAAATCCATTGGAGGACATCTAAAATACATTAACAAAACATATAGACTCCAAATGAGATGTCAAAAGAAAGTTTTACAAACATGCAACACTTCGCTCTCATTACAAGACACCAATTGTGAATCAAAAGAAAGGTTCTAATATATGCTGACATTTAACATACAAAACAAAAATTTTCCAATTTCAATTGACAAAATCTTCACAGCAAATGAGCCCCAAGAAGCTGCCATTCGGTTCAAGTATTAATCAGCCATTCTGTTCAATTGACAAAATCTTCACAGCATTTGATGTTCTTCACGCACGTTATCGCTCGGTGAGCCCTTCCCTCTTGCACCTATCAGTTTACCCTATAAAATCAAACAAACAAAATCGACCCGTAATGTATAATATAGAACAGATTTCATGAAGAAATTAAAAGTACTCAGTTGATGTGTACAGAAATTATACAATGTAATCAGCAACATAATAATGTCTGCAACGCTAATTCAATAATTTCCTATCACAACTACGACTATTAGTTCATTTTCAGACCCAAACAAAATAAAACAATGACCAGCATATCATTTTGAGCATTCTCTAACAAGATGAATTAATGGAGATCACTTCATTTTCAGCATCCAATTTCAAAAATGCTTAGTGGGTGAACCCAAATTCAAAGTGCTTTCAATGAGAAATTATTCAAACAACCTGAACGAACAAAAATCTCACAATTCTCCTCGATTTTATGCAGCTAGCTAATTTGAACAAAAATTCGGTCATTCAAGAGTGTCAATTACATATTCTTCACACCAATTAATGAGAATTAAGGAGATTACCTTCACCGTTCACGGTTGGTTGGGCTCTTGTAGTTTCCTCCATCGCGTTTTGAACGTTTATGTAACTGGGATGTGGTTCAAAGTTTATGGATTGAAAACCACCTACAGCTAGGGATGGTGTACATTAGAAGGCGAAGAACTTCTGGCAAGCGACTATGTGTTCGATCCAGATGTTTTGAAGTGCGGGAAATTGAATTAGGGTTCATGCGAGGCAGGGATAGTGAATTGGGGAAATTGGGTTTCAGCTTTGAATGGAATAAAATCGTGTATTCTGAAACACACGTCCACCGTGAATCAGTTTTGACACCATTGAATGCCACGTGGAATTCCATCAAGCCAGATCAGACAATTTCAAACGGCTTTGTGGGGAATGATGGATGGAGAGATGGGTTTGTAAGTTCAGTGAGCATTCAACAGCAAAACAAAGTTCAGTGACTACAACATGACATTGTACTAAGTTTAGTGACTAACGAAACTTTTTACTCCGAAGGCGGGGAGATTCGTTTGTTTAGATTGCTGGACAAAATGTTGAAGCATTTGCCACTGTTAATATTTTTATGTTGCATCAGAACTTTAATTAATGTGGATAAGTTTCTTTTGTTTTTCATTTTCCAGTTCATTTGGGTATGCTGCTCTCATTTGAAAACCTTTTCCTGGTTCTTTTTGCTTATGGTTCCCTTGTTTTATGGGTTCTCTATATTTGATCGAGTTGGCCATTAACTTCGACCATAAGAATGTCCTTCATTAAGATGTCCGGTTTTTTAGTTTCATTTTGAAAATATTTTCTATTGCCATTAGAAACACTGGATATGTTTCTTTAATTTCTTGTTGGTTGCTTTGTAATTATATTGTGATATTAGTTTATACATTTGGGTTGCATTTGACGCACTGTATAATTTTTCATTTTTAGTACTTTTTGATTCAACAAGAACTCCTTCAGATTTAATTGTTTGGTTTTTGAATGGGTTCATGTATTGTTGAAGGAAACGTGTGCTAAATTCTTTAAGCACTCTTGTCATCTCATACGTAGCTATTCTTTTTCCTCGCTATTTTTGGGTATAATTATTTTTTCATGAATAGTTATGCTACTTGACATGTATGTAATATACTCAGCTTTTACAAATTAATCGTGAATTTGTTTTGCTTTATATACATATAATTTGGTGATTACAATTAACAATGGAAGAATATAAAGAAGCTAATTCATCTACAGGTCAAGCATCTAATATTGTGTCAATGGGGATTATGAGAAGGTACCATCTCTAGTGAAGATGCTAGCATGTTGTTCAAGTACCCTTGTACACTTAACTCTTGTTTGCTAATTATTTTTTGTTTGCATCAAAGTTTATTTTTATTTCGTTGTGCTCTTTAAATGCCTTATGACTGTACTTTATTAATAACATTATATGTAAATTTACCTCGTTGCATTAAGTTTGTTTTGCTGATCAATCTAATGTACATCAATCCTTAACGCTAGATACACTAACATTACTTTAAAAAATAACACGGTCTGTGCATTGCACAGGCATACGAGTAGTATTAAAAAAAAATCTTGAATTATGACTTAAATTCTGAAAAAAAAAATTCATTTTTGAAATTGTAATCTTATTACATTGAAAACTAAAATTGCTTCGAAAAAGTATAAAAAAAAAAGGTTATCAAACGCGTCATAAAATAGAAGACGAAGAACAGTACTCTTTAAACTAAATCCAATTCTCTGACTTCAATCAAAAGAAGTATAAAATCCCTAGATGCTTCCTAATCCAAGCATGGATTTTGGTTCATTGAGCTCCATTAAGCAGACCCTGAGAGAGAATTTAATTGTAGTTTAATAAAAATCAACGTTTAAATTATCGATTGTGCTATATTTATGTCACGACTTACAAATGTGATAAAATTTGATTGGATCAAAATCTTAAAAATCAAATTAAAAAGAAAAAGAAAAAAGAGTAATGTTACTTGTGCATAATAGAATTACCTAATGGTTCATATATAGATGAAATGTCAAAAAGAGAATGGAGATTTTTTTTGGGGAAAATTGCAGCATAAGTCCCAAACTTTTGAAACATTAGCAGACATTTTCCAAACATTTCATTTGTTGTAGCCGTCACCCCCAACATTTTCAGATGTTGTATGTGAGGTCCCTTTAGATGATTTCCGTAAAAAATTTCGACACTTGACCATCAAAATAAACTTTGACAATCTTTTAATCAATTTTAAAAGGGTAAAACGGTAACTTTCTATTTACCACATTAAACAATTAAAAAACTTAAATCAAAAACCAAAAAAAAAAAAAGGAAAGAAAATCCATCTTCTTTCCCACCCCACCCCTTCAATCTAAAACAAAATGCATGGCCAGAAGCAGCCTGTACAAACAAGGAGATGCAACACATTACCAAAATTGATCCCAAAGTAAATTCACTCGCCCAAGCAAATAACACAGAAACCCCGCCACCGTTTTCACCACCCACAAACTCCATAACGGCCCTCTCATCCCAAACCTCCGCCCCATCTCGTCGAAAATCAACTCGCCTGCTGGTCGAGACACGTAATTTGTTAGAATTTATTGAATGAAGAAACTTCAATTGAACTCCATAAAGGAGAAGAACAAACTCCATAATATGAGAAGAAAAGGCACTCCATGAAGGGAGGAAATACACTCCATGAAGGAGGAGAGAAACCTCCGTAAAAGGAGGGATTGGAAAACTATACTCCAATGAATTACAATGAACAACCGGTTGTGTATTTATAGAGAAAATGTCTAACTAAACTAACTGTCAACTACTAACTACTATGACGATTGGAAGAGAATCTTGTGAGCTGGAGAATTTGTTACAGCTAGAAGGATCCATGTGAAATGAATCTAGAACGTTGAATCTGAAGTCTGGATTGCTCAACTACAAGGGATCTGGTGCAATTCTAATACACGCCCCTCAAGATGGACTATCCATCTTGTCCATCTTGAAGATTAAGGGGAATGGATGCAAAAAAAAGTTCTGGTAAAAACAATGGCTTCTGCATCTGAAGAAGAATGTCTTCTGATGATGATCAACCCAGAAGAAGAAACGTCTTCTTTTGGCTTTTAACTAAGTGATTATTTTCAATCTGATGGCGTTGATTGTTCCGTCATTCATCAGCGATTCCAGAACATCATTCTCATTAACAATCAGGTCATCTGGTCTGTACTTCCAAAAGTTAGGATCCTGCCTCAACAGAGTTTAAACTTCTTCCTTCTCAACATATGATATCCCACAATATTGTGGATCAGTAAGAAAGCCAACAAATGAAATGTATTCAACAGGCACCTGTTGAAGCCTATTAATCTAGTGGATGAAACACTCGAGTTATCGAAAGATCTACAACTGCAGCATCAGGTAGTGGCAACAAAGACAAAACTCTGCATGATGCATGTGATTGATTGGCTATGGAGAAGCAAAGATTTATTTTAGTTTGCTGATTCATTTCGCAATAAGCTCAAATTCTTCTATGAACTGGAAAATGTTGCTACCAGTTTTTATTTTCTGAACATGAATGTCTTTTGTACTTTGAAGGTTCCGCCCATTAACAACAGCCTTCAGAAAACACAGAATTGCTGAAAAAAATCATGATTCCAGTAGAATGTTGGAAATGATAGCAGCAAAATTCTGGAAAAGAAGAGCAAAAATCTGAAGTCAAAGTTATCTTCAGATGTCGACAAATTGAAGAATGATCTGTATGAACTGTGATAAATCTGCTTTCGTTGAGTAGAAGACAGGAAGAATGAGATGAATTAAATTTCAGGAAAACGACAGCAGGAAGGAAATTCTTTTGCTCTAATACCACGTTAGAAAATTTCAATTGAACTCCATAAAGGAGAAAAACAAACTCCATAATAGGAGAAGAAAAGGCAATCCATGAAAAGAGGAAATACATTCCATGAAGGAGGAGAGAAACCTCCATAAAAGGAGGGATTGTAAGACTATACTCCAATGAATTACAATGAACAACCGGTTGTGTATTTATAGAGAAAATGTCTAACTAAACTAACTATCAACTACTAACTACTATGACAATTGGAAGAGAATCTTGTGAGCTGGAGAATCTATTACAACTGGAAGGATCCATGTGAAAATGAATTTGGAATGTTGAATCTGAAGTCTGGATTGCTGAGTTGGAAGGGATCTGGTGCAATTCTAATAATATTCCCAAAATTGAAACTGGCTGCAATTACACCGGCCGTCTTAATATCCAAACCAAACTTGTCGTAAAATTAATCTGCAATGACATTATCAGTTGTTAATTCAACTCCAAAGCAAAACCCGTATGTTATTCCCAGAATTCACTTTTCAGAGTCGAATGTCAACAACATAGTTATGAAATTTAACTAAATCCAACTGTTCGATTAGAAAACCTAGTTACATGGACACTAAACCAATTTGTATACTTAGACTTCTTGACAAATGATCGATATAAAATGTCGGTCCAATCACCATTCAATTGGCCGCTGTTCAAGTTGAATTAAATCCTTCAAGACAATCTATAATCTATTAAATATCAAATCAATTGAAAATCATTTCTTGGACGACTCCATCCTTACTATAATTCAATTATTTCAATAATAGCTTAATTTTTGTTTCTCAATATATATTTAACTATTTCAATAATATACTACTTTTCTTTTTCAATATGTACGTAGTTTATTAATCATTTGAACAATATTAAAATTAATTATTTTGTTATAATGAATGTACATTTGACACATTCATTATTTTACTTTTTGTTTTTCAATTTGTATTTAATTTTTTTAACCATGTTTGACAAATTCATTACTTTTTCATTTTTTAATATGCATTCGAATTATATAATCATTTGAACAATATTATCATGAATTATTTTGTTAATTATTTAATTATGATCATTGTACATTTAACAAATTTGCCTAAAACTTAACAGGCTGGAAAAATATGACTCCAAGGTAAATTAAATAAAGTTAGCTTTGTCATACTCAAATTACTATGACATGATTTGTTTTCTTTATATATTTCATATATCTATAATATATTAAATATCATATCAAGTGAGAATCATCTTTTGGACAATTATATTCTTACTATAATTCAATTATTCAATAATATCTTAATTTTTATTTTTCAATATGTATTTAATTAATTCAATAATATTCTACTTTCATTTTTCAATATGTAATAAATCATTTGAACCATTTGAGCAATATTGTAATTAATTATTTTGTCAATTACTTTGTTATAATGAATGTACATATGACACAGTCGTTACCTTACTTTATTATTTTAATTTATTGAACCTATTTGACATATTTATTACATTTTTGTTTTCAATATGTATTTAATTTATTTAATCATTTAAACAATGTCATCATGAATTATTTTGTCAATTATTTAATTATGATCAGCGTACATTTAACGAAATTGCCTAAAACTTAACATGTTTGGAAAAGTATTACTACAGAGTAAATTAAATTAACTTAGCTTTGTCATACTCAAATTACTATGACATAATTTTTTTCTTTATATATTTCATATATTTATAATATAATAAATATCACATCAAGTTATAATCATTTTTGGACTATTATAGCCTTACTATATAGTTTTAGTATATCAATAATACCTCAATCTTCATTTTTCAACATGTATTTAATTATTTTAATAATACCCTACTTTCGTTTTTCAATATGTAATTAATCTATTAATCATCTGAACCATATTTTCATTAATTATTCCGGTATAATGAATGTATAGTTGACACATTAGTTACCTTACTTTTCATTTTTCAATATATACTTAATCTATTTAACCATATTTGGCAGATTCATTACCTTTTTGTCTTTCAATATGTATTTGATTTATTTAGTCATTTGAACAATATTGTTATGAATTAATTTGTCAAGTATCTAATTATGATCAGTGTACATTTGACAGATTCATTTCACTTGATTGAATGGTAAATTAAATTCATTAAAAAAATTTTGGAACAAAAAGATGAATAGTTTTCTAGTTTTCTTCCAATTAATTTAATCAATAAATATCAAGATACAGAGAAGATAAATGGGAGACATAATGTGTATCTATAATAAATTATTTTAATTGATATATTTAATGTATATTAAGCGAATATAAGAAAATGATGATATTCGTAGGATGTTTAGTTCAGATCAAAAGGGTAAATGGAGAGAATATTCTAATTGACTTCCTCAATTTAAATATTTAAATTATTTTTACAAAATGATTTTTATTTTATTTGAATCAAAAGTTCATCCCACATTAACAAATCATATTAAGCCCTCGTTTGAGTCACATTATTTTAAAAATGAGAATGAAAAATATAGTCGTTATGAGCTCCACACAAGAGATAAAAAGTCAAATGTGGTGGCTTGATGTAGTGGATAACGATCATATTTTTATTTTAATGAGAAAATAGTGAGACTCAAACAAGAAATTATTTTTTATATTCTTACATCTTACAATACTATTTTTATAGCGCATATAAAACATTTTCTACTATGACTAGTTTACACTAAACGCGCGTTAAAACGCACTTCTATTGGACCCGACAATAGGTTGAGAATTGCCACTGCGAACGGTAGGCACGTAGCAGCAGAAAAAGGAAATAAAAATCATCAATTCCAGTACTAAAGGCAAAATTACCGTGCAAAAATCTTCATGTTCACTTCACATTGCTAGAAATAACTTTACGCGGCTCGAATAATCTCTCTCACTCTCTCTCACGCACGATGGCCGCGACAACCGCACCAGAAGTCGAAATGAATAAATTTCCATCAGATTCTAATCCAACTGAACAACAACCGCCACCGTCTTCCGCCGACGGAGACGACGAATCGAAGGTGAAGCCGATCACGGAGGCTGTGAAAGCTGATGATGTTGACGCCGGCACAGCGTCTACTGATGTTCAGAAGAAGGTGAAGAGAGCCGAGCGCTTTGGAATGCCTGTCCAGCTCTCTGAAGAAGAGAAGCGCAATTCTCGTGCTGAGAGGTGTTCTAATTCTCTATAAAATTCCTGCTTCGTTATGATTTTGAGTACTCGTATACGAAAATTAGGGTTAAGGTCTTAGCCACGATTTTTGACTAAATTTGGGGATAATACCGTTCCTTTTGGTTTTGCTTTAAAATTTTGTTTCATAAAATAAATAGTAAATGTTAGCGCACGTTTCAATGAAAAGAAACACAAGAGTAGGTTTTCTAAATTTCAGTCCACTGGGTTTTCTCTCTTGACTCGCAATATGCCGTTCCCCTTTCAATTTCTTTTTATATGGTGTTATTTGAAGGGATTATGTATATGATCTTTTAAACGGGATTGCGGTGTTCTTTTCCATCTTCCCTTGTAGAAATGGCAGCTGCTTTTCTTTCTTTCATATATCCAATTTGCTACATGGGATTGCAACATCACTTGATTTACTAGCATTTCTTCTAGATATCGTTTGTCCATATAACTGAATTATGCCCTTGTTTGTTTCCCCTTTTTTGGTCACAGAAATATGACCGTTATCCGTACCATATCTGACTTTCTATCTCTTGTGTGCACCCGTAACGCTAGTAACGGCTATATTTTTCATTCATTCTTAAATTAATGTGATTCAACGGGGCCAATGTCAATTCTGCTTGTCTAGGCAGTGTTGCTCATGTAATTGGTTGATTTCTGGTGTTATTTATCACTGAAGTGATTAGGTCTTGAATTTTGGTATCTTTACTCCGTCAGTGAAGAATACTTTGCTTGGCTGATGAAAGGGCTATTGGCACTGAACTTATTCTTTATTTCTTTATATGTCAGCCGATGTTTATCTCCTTTTAATATGCTTATTTCTTTTGACTACTCAGTGCATCCATGATACCATTTAGGGCCATTTGGCATGACTTTTAAAAAGTCAAAAGTTGTTTTGGGCCTATACGTATAATTTTTCGAAAGTGCTTTGTCTGATTAGAAGTGCTGCTCTTAGAGGACTTCCTCAAGAAGCTCTTCTACCAAAAAAATAAAATATTAAAAAAATGAAAGGGACAGAGGTAGAAGCTATCCATACATTCCTTTAGAGTCTTCCGATTACAATTTCTGTTACTTATGCTGCAGAATATTGTGGCATATTTAGTGGGTCCACGTATCTAATTGCATCAGATTGTTCTAGGTTTGGCACTGGTACTGCCTCGCAGGGATCAGATTTGTCAAAGCAATCAGAGGATCTGAAAAGGAAAGCTAGAGCTGAGAGGTTGTTGCTTTTGCGCACCGGACATTGACTTGTGATTTTCAGTAGTATGTTTGTTTGACATTTTATGGTTCTTCCTCAGGTTCGGGATTGCACAGTCTGCACCTGCTGACGAGGAAGCAAAGAAGAAGGCTAGAGGTGCTAGGTTTGGATCTGTTACCAAGACTGATTCAGCAGAGGAAGAGAAAAAGAAAGCAAGAGAATTAAGGTCATTGCCACATATTTATCATCTTCTTCTTTGTATTTTGATAGGTGCCTAACATAACACAGTAGATTGTGTGCAGCTATTAGTATGGGGTTTTTATTCTGCAATTAAGTAGATTTGCAGGGCAACTTTTCATTTGTGCTTAGAATTGTTTTCCAAAAATTGTTTGTTGTTTTCATTTTCCGTCACTAAAAAAATCATTGCAAGTAGTAAATTTTTTGACCCACAGTTAATTTTAATGGAAGTTCTCCATAGAATGTCGAACAAACACAATCTTCACTTCAATTCAAATTTTTGTTGTAAAAAATAGACAGGTCATACTTGTTCTTGTATGGTACAAATACTCATCTAAATGATGTTTTGTTCAACTTATTTATCATTTATTAAATAAAAAGGTGAAAATTATATATGCGCACAAGTGACCTCTAATAGAGCCTGATGAATGTCCTAAATTATTTTTCAGGTTTTCACAACCACAATCTGGTTCCCTGTCAAAAGCAAAAATAGAAGGAAACAATGAGGTGCTAAGTTACCATAAATGCATTATATGTAGGAAGTAAGGTGTATATTCTCCTTGTAACTTTTGGTCTCTTCCGTATTGATTATTCTATGTGCACATTTCAGAAGACAGCTATTGCAAGCAAGGCTGGTGAAGGAACCTGAATAACTGTTGTCTTTATTCAACAGTAAGATATGCTTATAGGTAATTTTATATGCTTGGTTTCCATGCACTTCTATAATTCTAAATGCTGAATGTGCACATCAGATTCTGATGTTCCCTTCTCTTTTTCCTTTTCAGGTTTTCAGGTTGTATTAGTAACATCTTGTTTTCTCCCAGTAGCTTTTACGTACAATTCTCTGACATGGATTCTGTGCATTTACACCCTTTTAGCTCACCTCCATTGACGTAGATCATGGTATTTCTATTTTTCTAGTTTTTGGTTCAGTTATGGTTTACCTGGTGAGGCCTGGCACAATTACACTGTTTGTGTTACATTATATCTGAAATGACATAACGACCATATCAAAAATACTTAATACAAGGATTGGAAAAAATTAACAACTTGCAGAGTCGTGTGTGTGTGATAATTTTTACCACTTAGCCCATCTTTCTTTCATTCTTGGTTTCTCTTTTTCCTTTTTGTGGAACTTAGTTTTGTGACTTCTTCGACAAAAAACACACACACATATTTCCCCCTCTTGTGATTGGTTTAATGTGAGCATCTCTGTTTTGCACTTTCATGCTGCATGCATTAGTCCAGAATAACTTACTGAAGTTTATCAATGTCAACCTGTGGTCCACTCCAATTTGAGATTGAAAATCAGCAATAGCACTCCTAAAACTCGACCAGATCATTCTTGCATATTTTAAGATATCAGAATGTTGCTTCTTCTTTCATTTTTTCCCCCCCAAATCAGAATGTTAAGATTTTATAGGTTTTATTGAATAGCAAAGCTTTGCTGATATCTCATCTTTTAATATATTTGCATTTTTATGTTCTATTCATTTATGTTTATGTTTGACTATTCAGAAAATGGGTTTTAAAATCAGAAGTTCCAAATTTTCACAAAAATTTTGTTCGCTTGCTCTAGAACCAGGAGAAGAATTAAGTATATGTGCTAAATGATTTCCATCGTCATGTTGCATTTCAGGGGCAGCATTATCTTAAATAAGAATACTTTCTTGCATGATTTCTGTGCCATTTATGTATTAAGAATTGGCATGTCTGCACTCGTAAAATCTTCATGGATTGCTTGGTTGGAGTCTGTTTGAAAGTTCAGTTTTTAAATTTAGTTTAGGAGTTCAGTAGTTTAAAATTTCAGAATTTCTGATATGGTTGGTCATTTGGGATTTATGAACACAAGGGAGTTTTTTGGCAATCAGTTATGGTCTCATCGGGTGAACGTTGTAGGGTTGTCGAATGTGCAGAAATCAGTGGAGGAGGTTCTTTGACTCCAGTTTTTTCTTTTAATAATCTTGTAGGGGAGAAAATACCTTTTTATTTATTATTATTATTATTATTTTTCGTGTCATTTATGTAAAGACGAGTGTATTAGTGAACCTTTTAGTTATGAACGTCTCTGTGTTTCTATGGTATGATATAATTGAAATGTCCATATGCGAATTATGGCTTTTTACGTTTTGGTCCCCCGTCTCGAGTGCAAATGGTCTTCTAACTAGTGAATATCTTGCTAATCTTCAAAAAAGGTAAACATTGATTTTAAGTAACTTGTATATGTCACTTTTTTTCTCGTACTTATGAAGTTAGTTATTTTCCAAGTAATTGCTACAACAATGTCCCCAGTAAACAGATATCAACCAAAAGTAGCAGCAAATAACATATACATCAACCCAGAAGCATGAGGGCGCTGCGTAATCCCTTGTTGGAAACCCATCAAATACGATATAAAATAATAAGGCCACTAGTACCTAATTCTTGTTTGATCATAAAAGTTTCCTTGAAAGTATTCGAACCGAGTTGGTAGGTAGAATGTCATTTACCTTGAAATTCCATCTATAAGTTCAAAGATTTCGGTCTAGTTATCTTTTGTCATTTACCTTTAAAAGAAAAAAGGTTGAACTCCAACTTTGAGGGCTTTCACCGTCCCGTCCCAAGAGCATTGTGAAGGAGGTAAATCGCGGGATGTGTCCCAACAGCGTAGGGAACAAGAGTTTGTCTGTACACTGATGTTCATAAAGAGTCCAATTCTATATTTTAGAAATCAAATCCTCACACTATAGCTGTATGTAAGGCTGTGGTTATTTTACTCCTGTCTTTTGCACTACTGGGTTATGTTTTGGGGGCTTTTGTCGTTTAACCTCCCTTATATGAAGTATTGCCAAAAACAAGTTGTTTTTGAAAGTAGAATGATCGTTCAACTTCTCCAGTAGAAAATCAACGTCAAACTTAAACGGTTTCACAATATAGTAACAGCCTAAATCAGTGCATAAAAAGTTGATCAATTTTATTAGGATCAAGTACTTTATCATATTTATGCATCGATTCACGATAGTGCTTAAAAGTTAATTTAAGCTCGTGGCAACATTATGATCGTCGTCCCACGTGAATAATTTGTCTACCCAACTTTAATTATGTTCATGTTTCTGCGTCTTCTCTCCATTGAGCTCTGTAGTTGTTCTCTAGCATGCCTTAAAGAATCAAGCACTTCTTTCACAGTAGCATCGAGAACCTCTGGATCAATGGTTTGCTTCGTCTCTAGCTTCTCGACCGGAACTAATGCCAACGAGTTATCTACATGATTTTCGTCATCTTCTTCATTTTGTTGGTTCTTTTCTTGATCTTGATCATTTTCTTGGTTCACCTCCTCTTGTGCCGAAGGTTTCACACTATAAAGGATAACAATTTCCGTCAGATCACAATCTGGTTATACTGAAACATCATATATTCTTATAAACAAACATGTATATATAGGATGTTAATCCAGAAAAACATTGGCAAGGAATTCTAATTCAGGAATTGTTCAAGAATTGTGCAAAAACAGAACAACATTCAATAAATGGTACTAACCCTTACCTTTCGTCTGTACTTGCAATATTATAATTCTGATTGTACTCAAACTCGCTGGTCCTCGCTGAATTCCGAGACAATGGATCCATAACTTCAGGATTAGGGTCGGCTGGACACGGGAGTCCGTTGGTTTCGGTCCCTTGATACTGATGACTTTGCTTGCAATCCAGTTCACTTGAGGTGCAGTTCTTTTCATTTACTGGGTTGCCATGGCTTTCATCGGATATACTTGGTTGTGAATCATTGCGTTTCAAATGATCAAACTCTACTGGGAACTTGATATTCGCCACTGAACAAACTGGAAAATCTTTCATTTGGGAATTTTTATCTTCAGATTTTGAAGACGCTGAAGATGTAGAGGTGATGTCACTCCTATCCAGTAAGCTTGATTCAGATAAATCATATGAAATGTTATTGGTTTCGAGCTTTTTCATTAGGGACTTTAGCTTCTTCTCTGCGCTGTTTCTTGATTTGCCTTCTTTTTTCAACAGATTTTCCAGCTCAATCAACTGAAAATTTCAGACATTGAGAAACAGAAAAAGATTTGAAAACTGGGGAATTCCGAATTTTGTTATAATTTTGGGATTAAGAGAAATTTATCTCAAATGAATTCAACTTGATCAAAATATAAAGGGAATGTAGAATATCAAGGGAAAGTAGATTCACAGTCTGAAAACTCACACTCACAGATACCTTGTTTCCCAAGTGTTCAGCCTCCATTTTTGCATTTCTTGAAGCTACTCTTTCAGCTAGTAATCTTCCTCTAAGACAAGCCACTGTCCTCACACTCTCTTCTCCTTCAATCTTTTCCTCACTGAACAAAAACCCATTTCATATTTTGATTAAATTTCACACACAAACACATACTAATGAGATGAAATCAAATTACCTCCATTTTCCATCTGCATCTTCTCCCCCTGTCATCTTTTACTTCCTTCTGATCCTCCAAAGCCCTTTATCAAAGCAACCAAATCACCTAGATTCCTTGAGAACAATTGGAAATCATTGAGAGATTTATAGGAACTAAAAGTTGGGATTTTCTTTTTGGGTGAGTGGTAATGAATTTCTTGTTCTTGAAAGAACAAATATGCTGAGAAATTATGTCAGCAGTTGGGAGTCTTGCCCCCACCATCAATGGCTTTTTACACAGATGTATTGTCTTCTCTGTTGCTTTACATTAAAGTTTGTAACTGTCCACACTTCTGCTACTGCAACCGTTCATTTATTGTCATAATTGATTCCAAATCATAATTTGAACCATTTCGAAAACATTTGACTTAGCTTACAAGTCAAATTACTTGTAATTAAGTCGAATATTTTATTTATTATGTTTGTATTTGAAATTCAAATACATAACGACACTATACTGAGACAAGAGTTTCAGGGTGCGGTAAGTTTATTCACGTGGGTGCCTGTCCCCGCTCTATATTCTTCATGTTATTTATAAGAATAATGCCTTGTGTACTGCCTACAGGGCAAATATTCACGGGATCTTACAAAGCCCTCACATGGATCAGTCCCCACCCGGACGTCGATGCAATAAAAATTGAAAAAAAAAAAAAAAAACTCCGATCCCACCCCATGTGAGACCCTTGTAAGAGTTCTGTAAGAGTTGGACCTATATGCTCAACTCGGTTCTATTTATAATTGACACTGCACTGTTAAACTATTTTCTCTAACAACTTATACAGTCTTTCTTTATCAAAAAAGAAAAAGAAAAAAAAATGTGTATTTATAATCCGCTGATGGATATGTTTTGATACATTAAATTAGATGGAATGCTCTAAAAAAGAAATGTATGAAATTAGCGATGAGTTGTATCCTATATCGTTCAGTTCAATTTGACATATTAAATAAAAGAATACAATGTTGAGATGATTGTTCAATCTATGTCAATATTATCAAAACTTTCAACTTGCCTGTTGGCTAAAATTATTCTTGTTTAGATAAGAACTCAGATCTCAATAGTCAATTCCAATCAAATATATCATTATTATTTTTCTTTATGGCCTTAAGACATCAAAGGAGAAGAGATTCGAGAAATACGACAAACTAATAGAAAAACCTAGACTTGCCCATAAAAAGCGAGTTTAAATCAATTGTCTGACTTTCCTGTCTTACCAATAAGATCTTGACACCTCGTTATGCTTTTGTTGATTTCTAAGTTTAATGTGTGTAAAAACAAAAAGCTATTTGTTTAAAAAAAAAACGAACCCTCAATATTGTCGTGAGACGTCAAAATTTTAATGATGAAAAAGTCGAGGCAATCAAGTCAAAACAGCATGTCTGAACTCACAAGCTCATAAGTTTCACATGGTTTATGACACTACTACATACCTCTATGTTGCTAATGTGTGAATTCTGTGCTAGTGACCAATCGTATCCATAGAAGCTAAAGACTTAGGGCAATAGATCATATGTTGATTTTAATTTTCAAATAAGAAAAAAAAAATTTTAAATTTACAAACTCAAACAAGTTCTATCCAAAACTGGATCAAATCATTCTACTATTACCTAATGCTTAATGATGAAAAAGTCGAGGCAATCAAGTCAAAACAGCATGTCTGAACTCACAAGCTCATAAGTTTCACATGGTTTATGACACTACTACATACCTCTATGTTGCTAATGTGTGAATTCTGTGCTAGTGACCAATCGTATCCATAGAAGCTAAAGACTTAGGGCAATAGATCATATGTTGATTTTAATTTTCAAATAAGAAAAAAAAAATTTAAATTTACAAACTCAAACAAGTTCTATCCAAAACTGGATCAAACTGATTCTTGTTCATTCTACTATTACCTAATGTTACACACAAAATTTAGAGTATCCACTCTAATTCGTAGTGCATTCATCTAGGAGTAATTTAATTGTCAATTGCAAATAATATTGTTGAGAAATTGAAATTGTGGGATGAAATTGAATGGAGTGTTACTATAAGAGAGTTTAACATAAGGACTTTTTACCACATAAGTGACATTTTACCAAAGATCGAATGCAACCCCGTGACAGACTTTCTTATCAATTCATTTACCATGATAAATAAAAAAAAATTGAAGCAACTTACAATAAAAACATGATTATGCTAATTGTACAGAAGACAGCATCCAGAAGCACCGTCAGAAGATAATTTGGAGAAAAATGATCGGATAAAAAAGCCGACTGTGTTTCAAACTAACAAATGATAGTGTGTCATGAAATAGTATGTAAACCTTTTATATCAACTTTAATGTATATGCAGCAAGAGTCATAAAAATAAAAGAAATAAAAAGCAGGTGGAGCCTAGTTCTAACACATGAAAAAAACGATAAAGCTAGCCGTACAGGGTCATTGACAGGCTCTTGATAGGAATTTAAATTTTGGTGACATGTCTTTGAATAATTAATTAGAAAATGGAGGGAAATGGGCTACGAAAAACACTACACGTCAGCCATTATATAATTCCTGTATTTTGCCCCGGTTTGTGTGGCGGAATTGTGAAAAAAAAAAAAAAAGGCTTGAACACACACACATATAAATATGATTAGGTTAATTATTTTAAAGCTCTTTACTGCAAAGCAAAGTCAGAGGAGCTCTTTGGTTCGGGACCTATGTTATCATGCATGCGTTCTTGATACAACTGTTATTATGGTCAGCTGGACCATACAGTTATTATCCCCTCCCTTGTGATTTTCTTCGTCTTTCTCGATATAGTCGAGCATGTTCACCTGTACTTAAAAGTTACTTTATTTTACTTTTTTTTTAAATGTCATTTTGAGAATCACGTCGGACAAAAAATATAACCAACTTTAAAAAAAAAAAAATTAAGTGCTTTGAAAATCAGACAAAGAAAAATGGTGTTAATATTGTCATTACTAAGACAATCAAACGGAAGCACATATAAGAGATTTTTTGAATAATATTTAGAGTCGGCCCTGGATCAAAGCCACTAAGGCAATTTTCTAGGGCCTCCAATGTTGGGGGCCTCCGAAGAAAAATGTATCATTTATGACATTATTTGCTTACCTAATTATTTTATAACATTTAAATCTTTTCATAATTTATTTTACCAATACGGGACGTTAAATAATCATTTCTTCTTAAGAACCCGAGCTTCTGAGGTTTCTCAATCAATCTTGAACCTTCAGTTCTACAAAGCATTTGAATTCGTTAAGATGCAAACCATAATTTTTTCTATAATTTCAACCTAATTCCATTATTTTCAGTAAGTAGACTAGATCTTGTAAAATTAAATCCCTTAAAGAGATCTAATTGGCTTGAAAGATATAAAGAATAATATCCTTAAATTGAACACTATCTCAATGACTGTTTCACGAATTTTCTTTTAAACAATGAGATAGGTCGTCAAAATTAGTGTTGCTACACTTGTAGAAAATTATTTTTAAGGACCTCATAATAATTAATCGCTTAAGACCTCAAAATTCTCAAGACTGACTATGAGTTACACTATAGTTTTTTTTTGTTTTTTGTTTTTGTTTTTTAATCAGGTGAGTTACACTATATTTGAATATAGAGAACAAGAGTAATAGACAATCTAGCAAATTACTAAATTCTAGACTATGAATACTGTAAAATTTCATCTGTAAGAGATTAATTATCACTCATTTCAAGACTAAGATACAAAGTTTAAAATATTAAAAATCATATATTAATTAAATTTTATTTATGAAATAATTGATTAAAAATATATTTTATAAATTAAATATATTAATGTCACAATTCTATACAATTTGGACACAATTATCAAATTAATTGGTCACAAATTATTTTTCGATCACGAATATATCACAAATTATTTCACGATTACATATCAAAAATTTCATAGGTCCCAATTTGTTCATCGATTATAAATCAAAGAAATTATAGATAACAATTTATTTATCAGTTACAAATTACAGATTTTACTGTAAAAAATTATCAAATTATTGGTCACAAATTAACAAAATTTTAGGTCCCATATTATTTATTAATCGTAGTTCATTTATTTATTGGTTATAATCGACCAAATAATTTGTGACCACCACCTCACGATTACCTCCAATCGCACTCCACCAACATTGTCATGTAGCAACGCCATCGTTGCTGCATACTTGCAGCACTGCCTCTAACAAACTCCTATTTTCCAACTTCAAAACCAACACCACCCCCACCATCCCACCACCAACAAACCGCAATTTTCGATTACAAAACCACCACCAGTGTCAACACTAAAACAGTCGCCGTTGTCGTCGCCGTCACCGCCACCACCACCACCATCACTAACATTGCCACCGGGGGGGCATCTCCTCCTTCATCTTCCCCAATCCCCTCACCCCAAAATCAAAACCACCCGCCACTCTCCCATACCCATTCTTTTCTCATAATTCAATTTTCTGCTTTCTCAATTTCTCCAAATTTTAGTTCAGTAATGGCACTTGAAGCATTGAATTCTCCTTCTACTATGGCTCCAACTCCGGCGTTTCAGTTCGAAAACGCCACCCTACGCTATCTCGAGCTGTGGACGAAAGGCAAGAGATCGAAGCGTCAACGCAACGTCGAACGCCATTATCAGCCCACTGAAGAAAAATACTTAGCTCTCTGCCTTATTATGCTTGCTCGAGGTGACGACGGTTCAGCATCAAAACCCGCCGCCATTTAGCAGCAAAAGCAAACTAGTCTTCTACCACCGTCGCCACACCTGATGAAATCTCATGATTCGATAAAATTGGCGTACAAATGTTCAGTTTGTGATAAAGCTTTTGGGTCTTACCAAGCTTTGGGAGGGCACAAGGCTAGCCACCGGAAACTGAGTTGTTCGAGTGGAGGAGATGAATACTCCACCACCACCTCCTCCTCCTCTGTTGTCGCCATCATTGCTTCAGCCACCTCCATGAGTGCAAGCAACCGCAGTGGGAGGGTCCATGAGTGTTCCATCTATCGCAGGTGCTTCCCCATCGGACAAGCCTTGGGGGGTCACAAAAGGTGCCGCTATGAATGTGGTGTCGACTGTTGATGGAGATGGAGCATTGGGGAAGATGAAGGAGGAGATGGGTTTTTTTTCCCCCCTTTTAATTGTTTTTTTAATATTAAAATTATAGAGTTACAATTTTACCCTTACCTTATGTGGTCAAAATTATTATATTTTTAATTTTTGAAGTCAACTAACAGTTTTTCGGGTCAAACTGACGGAAACCGTTAATACGGACTTGAATTCCATATTTTTTAAAGGTTTGGTACTCACAATGGCACAAACTAAAGGTTTGGACAAAGTTTGCTAATAGAACAAAGGTTTGGTACCTCGGCTGCAATTTTCCCAAAAATTAATTCGTCTCCTGAGATTCACTAAAGTTTTAAATGAGGCGCTGTAATTTACTCTTACCAGACAAACTAGGGTACCAATCTCTCCACCATCCATGTATCCATGTATAAAAATTTCGCATGTTATGCATTTGATTGAAGAATGAATCCACTCTACATAAGAAAGAGAGGGATAGTTGAATAATTAAATTCATCCTGTTTCTAAAGCTTAAACTTTTAAAATGAGCTGGTCAATATTCTTCAAACAAACTCTGCTCCCGTGTTTGGTTTAAATAAAAATCAAATTTTTAATAGATTTTAATTAAAGTTGACGGAATGTGTGGTTGAAAAGTTGTGGGTACAATGAAATATGTAGTTAAAATTAATTGTTGACTCTGACTTAAATTTTAATTTAGATTTTTAGCTAAACCAAACATTACAGAAATAAGTTTCAAGAATAGCGACAAAGAAGCCTTATCACATCTCATTAATTATAGTCATGTATCACGACAATGGCATCGAATGATAGGACAAAGATACACACAATAACTGACAAAACCGAGGAAAATAACAAGAAAAAATAACTGCATAAAATGACGAAAGGCCTGAGAAATCGATATAGATGCAAAGATTCTGAACAGAAGTAATGATCTTCAAAGACAAATAACAAGGGAATACATATGAAGCCTTGCAAAATACAAAATACTTCCACTATCCAAAATTAAATGTCACTATCAGATGTAAAATCCAAAGTCAATGAAGACAAAATCAAAGGAAAAGAAAAGGTCAAGACAGCCCGCAGATAGGGATATTTTCTATCAAACCTATATAAACTTTGCTAAACAACTCTCAATGAATAAATGTGGCGGTGTAATAGCAAAAAGGAGATCCAGTTAGAATAAACTAACAGCATTTAGATCCAATCACAGCTCAAAATCTTCCTCGCGAAGAGCCATCTCTGCTGCCTGTTCCTCTTCCTCATCAAGTGCAAAATACTCGTTCTTCTCCATCGGCCTAAACATGTAGAATATTACAGCATAAAATGCAAGACTTGCAATCTCCTCAGCTGCATTAGACACCCATTGGTACTTATAAGCAGCAATGGTCCTGAGCGCAAACACCACGATCCTCGTGAAGTACAAGTACCCAATAACCACAATATAAAACTGCCTAAAAAGGGTCAATTTAATCAGATTCCTCGCAGCCTTCCCGTCGGTCTTTGACGTTTCCCTCAACGATCTAATAGACCACACAGTGGGGAAAAGAATTGCGCAGCAACAAATAATATCCACCAACAGGAAAAGCTGATTCCAGGTCACCCAATCCTTAATAAACGGCCCAGTTTCCCCAATCACAATGGAAGCCACATTTGCCAACACCTGCAACGGGATCACGATCATCAACACTTTTTTCTCCCTTTCCTGCAAGAAGGGCTTCAAGAACGACCACCCAGTACCGATCAAAATGATCACCGTAAACAACAATATCACCCTAATAAACTGAAAAATGTAAAACAACACATCCCATCCATGAGGGGTGCCTGTAACCTTCACATAATGCTTATCCTCAGCAGCACAAAGTAAATTCAATGCCTTTATAATTACCAAAAGGCCCATCAGGGCATGGATTCTGTGCACAGACATCCTATTTTTAAAGCAAAGGGAACCCCAGAACCAGAAGAAAACAAAATAAAGAATCGAAAAGAATGAATATAAGGTGGGCAACTGGGTAAGTCCAGCAGATAAATAATCCTTGACGCGGCCACGATCATCAAGATTATAAAGCTCGGTCATGACATCCATTGAAACCGTGGATTCAGGGGCACAATTGGCAAAGAAAAGGGAGTATTCATTCGGGGAGGAAATCGGAGAAGAATGGGTGAATGAGGAGCGGGGAGGAGGGGAGAGGTCCCTAAAAGTAAATAAAAGGTCGACGTATTTCGAACCGAGGACGCAAAAAGAAGGGTTCTGCTGGAGCTCATAGAGCACTTGGATGAGGGATTCCTCTGATAGGAGGAAAAAACCGAGGCGGGAGGGGTCCGGCGAGGCGACAGAGGAGATTACGGAGACGGAAGAAACGGAAATGTTGGCATGGCCAGTGTGTGTGAAGCCGAATCGCTCGAACAGGATCATGGCCCGGGGATCGGAGTTGATCTTGAGGGACTTGATCTCGGCTGCAGAGGGACCGAGGAGGAAGATGAGGATGAGAAGCGGGAGGAGGAAGGGTAGTTTCGTCATTTTGATACGTGGTGGCAGGAGGAGGGGAAGGGCGGAGGAAGACTTTGGGGAGATCGCGGGTCACAGAGAAGGGGATGGTGGTGGAGCGAATTTTACGATTTGTGTGTGTTAGATACCTAAATTGCCCTTCATTGGAAAGTGAAATTTTTTTCAACGAAAATTGTATGAAACTTTATTGAAATCTATTATTTGAGCCACATTATTTTTAAAAACATATATTTTTTAATAGCGATTTGACATTATTTAAATCACATATTTTTTAATAAAATAATATTATATATAAATTTAAGAAAATTTCTTATTTTTTAATCATATATTTTTTATTAATTTGACATAAATAATACATTTTTTTCTTGGAACGTGGCTCAAACATGGGCCTAATTTTAATCTGTTACATAGGGCTCAGAATTTGAATGTAGACACTTTTTGGAATGAAGAAATAATTTTCTTCTTATGATTAATAAATTGATCGCACTTTAGATCTAAGATTAAAATTAATATTAAATTTTAATAACTTTAGCCTCCACAGATTGCAATGCGTAGATTACCATGAAACATGGTTCCATGAAAAATTTAGATTTACAGCCTGTTTGAGAGCAATTTTTTGGTATAAAAATTTAATTTTTTAATCGTTATTTCACTATTCTAGCCATCATATTTGACTTCTTCTCTCACGGGTGGACTCCACTTTTTTCCTAACGTTAAAAAAATTAATTCTCAAAATCACTTCCAAACAAGCTCTTAAACGATTAAATGAGTGATAAAAAATCAAAGTAAATAAACTTAAAATTTTGAGGTGATTAATTGGTTTTTAATTTATTTTAAATGGATTTTATTTTCCTCAATAATTAAATTCATTTCCATTATTTTCATTAAACCAACTGGTTGCATCCAATTTTCAGAGAATCGATTGAAATATGCTTAATCCATGGACTTGACAGAATCTTATCCCCCGTTTGGTAATAATTTTTCATCTCAAAAAATTAATTTTTTTATCGTTATTTCAGTATTCCAGCCGTCATTTTTTTCTTCACTTACAGATAGAACCTACTTTTCTTTCTAATGGTCAAAAAATCAATTTTCGTCATCACGACCGAGCAAGCCCTTAATTTGATAAATAGACGTAAACACCTTGATTAGCTAAACTTTTTTACAAATTGGTCGTCAATTTTTATTTTAGTGATTAAATTTAATTAGGAAAATAAGAATTATAATCATTTTGAAACAATGTTCCTGTTTGATTTAATTAAAAAAAATGATAAAAATATAAGTCATTTTAACAATTTTTTTAAATAAAATAATTTCGGACATAAACTTCTAATTTTTCCCCATTTCTTAAGTACACTAGTCGCTGTCACGTGCGGTGCACAAATTTTGTATTTATCATATTTTTATTAGTGTATAAATTTTAATTTTTTATAATATTTTTGAAGCAATATTTAGAAATGTTTCCATGATCTAAGAAAATAATTGAAAATTATTTTTACGATTGCATAACAGTATTTTGTTGAATAAGAGATATATGAGGTTATACAAACTATTTTGCTTATATTGTTGACATTCAATGTTTGACAGTGTTGATATAATTGAGTTGAACATGAAAATCTTGTGTAATTCCAAATAAGTTGGAAAATATTTGCATTGAAAATTTGAAGATAGAGCACAAAGTTTATTACAAAATAACAGTAATTTACATAAAAGCATTGTCTCATACGTTGTGTACCATAAACATTGGAAATTCGTTATAGCAAGTCAAACGTCAAACACGTATTGTGAAAAGTCAAGGATTATAAATTTGGATAGATGTTCTCACTGAATCTTGGTACATACTAAAAAAATAAAATAAAAATTAGTGAAAAAGGGAATTTAAAATTGTGGAAACATGAGCGAAAGAAAACTTACAATTTTGTATTTGGAGAATTAGAAAGAAAAAAGAAGAGTGGTTATGAAATTGAATTTTTAAATGTATTTTTTTGTGAAAGATGAAATTGATTTTACTTTTTTTATGCTATTTGTAAATAAAAAAAATTACAATTTTATTAGGGTGACAAGAGGATTTATTATGATTATTTAAAAATTTTCAACACCAAACAATAAATATATACTCTTTACCTGCTAATTTGGTGAAGAATTAGATGAAATGGTAAATCATGTGAGTGTTTTTGGAAAACCCCAACTGCAAAAGTTTTTACATTTCAGTTATTTATATGTATAGTGCAATCAATAATTTCACATTTGAACAATAATTGTTGCTAATTTTTGATAATTTCCTTTTGTTGTTCATTTCCCTCTTCACAGGTTTTACCTTTTTATTTTTTGTCTTATCCATTATGTTTAGATGTTTTTGTTGTTTAGCAATGATTCTTTCCTTTTTAATTTTTGGGATTTTTTTTTTGGGTATTATATAGAAGTTCTCGTAGTTAAATTTTTTTATTATTAAATTTCTTAACTAATAAAATAACAAAGTAAACAAATATTAGTTGAATGATTTAGCAAAAAAAAAAATAAAATTGAAGGGAGTCTGCACTTGTGCGGGAACTTCGGTTTCCGCACAAGTGCGAATTCCGCAGAGTGTGGAATCTCTTCACAAATTGTGCGGAGACTCCGCACAAAATGTGTGGGTTTGCATATTTTGCGCGGAGTCTCTGCACACTTGTGCGGAGACTCCGCATAGTGTGAACGCCTCAAAATTCTCTAGACCTACTTTACATTACGTTTTTGGTTAACCACGACTATATGATATAAATTTAAGATTAAGTGGAGATATTTTATGCATTGTATAAAGTAAACATAATTGTATATAAAAAATGGACCAAAGAAAAGAAGACAAATGCACACTTATCAAGTAATGATACCGATTAAAAAAAAGAAAAATCTCTCCGTACAACAATGTTTGGAGAGTTTTTTTTTTTTTTTTCAATGACAAAATCTAAACTATAATCATAAAAACATATAGCATTGGAAAGTAACTCCAAGAATATGGATAAACCAGAATCAATTATTTTGAGAAGTAATTTCTCTCCTCCTATCAACAAGAAAAAAATTCACGTGCATAACCCCAAAGAATGACAAGCTTCCACCATGTAAGTAATGAAACAAAGTGAAAATTAACAATCTACCTCGCAGAAAGAAGCTTCCCCCATGAATCCCCAGCAAGTGATTTCAATTACCTTCTTTTTTTTTCTTTTTTCTTTTTTTTTTCTTTTTTGGTTTATTCTTCTTCGTTTATTCTTTTTCTTTTTCTTTTTTATTCTCTATAGTTTTGTTCAACTTCAAACAGTCAAACTATTTGGTTATTTGTTTTTTTTTAGTTTACCATATTCTTTTCACCTATTTGACTAACCAGGTAACAATGGGCTAAAACTACTATTTACCTTTCAACAAAAAAATGAAAATAAAAAAATCAAAATCATTAAATATTCAAAATCCGAACACACCATTTTCAATGGCCGAAGACGTGGGTTTTTTTCCAACCCAAGCGATCCATTAGAACTACTTCATCTTTTGCTTACCTCGTAAAACAAAATAAAATCTTTAATCTTTCCGAAATAATACCCTCTAAAAAAAATCTACCTAGAACCGCACAGTAAAATCAAACCTACATATATTCAATTCATAGCAAAAATATATATTTACTTACCAAAAACCTTAGTTTCAATAATTCTTTTGATTGTGCTATGATGGAAAGCCTCTATAAAAGAAAACAAAAATAGATGGTTAGAACTTCTAGAATGTCAACCACTGAGAAGACGAAGTTAAAGGAAAACGAAATAGAAAAAAGAGAAGAAGAAATGAGAAGTTGTACGGTCTTGGTCGTGGAGAATGAAAGAAATAAGCATGGGAGGTTGCTTTGAAATATGGAAGAAGCTAAACGGTTGCGTGAAAAGGAGTCATGTGTGATGGAAATACGAAGACAAAAAAAAGTCATTTTGCATTTTTTACAGTAGCGTGGAATTTATTTACTGTTCAATCAACAATGTCATCTTCTTCCCCTTTTTATAAGAAGTTAAATATGCTTAAAAAATAATAATAATAATAAATAAATAAATAAATTACCTTTTCACGAAATATTTTTAAAAATTGTAGGTAAAAACTCCAGATATATTTGCATTTGAAGGAGATAACTAGTTCTCGAACTACCACAGCTACCCATTTAGGACCGGAACACGACAACAGCTACAAATTGCCAGCTCTGTCCTTTCCAGCATTCAATTTTTACAAGCAAAATTAGCGATTTTCTAGAAATTAAATCCGTAATACGAGGTCAATCAAGAACAGTTTCTTTTGATCAAAGTAAACCTATTTATTTGCTTGACAAATTGGGAATTGAATTTATGACTGGTTTCTCTTTTATCCAAATTGTGTTCAATTTTTCCCAAGTGCAAACTTCAAAGCCGTGAAGAATTCTTCTATTTTAATATATTCATATTTGTATAAACGCAGCACAAGAAGCGGAGACAAGTAATATTGATCTTATTCGGAAGAATAATATTTGATTTTAAGCTGTTAGATATATTTCAATTTGATCGTTGAGCACGAAGATTTTCTTAGAATTCTTGATTATGTAAGTCCACACTATTTGATTTTTGTTTTATCTTGCATTTTCAGGCATATTTATTTCTTTTTTGTTTGTATTGTTTTGGTTTCATCTGGGTTGATGTAAAGTCAAGTGTTTAGGTTTTCAGTTCTCTTGCAATGATCTTTGAAGTTATCGTTCAGAGAAATTTTGGGCGATCATGTAATTAATTTAAATTATTTGTTGTATACAGATATCTTCTATTCAAGAAGTGAAACAACTGAGAATTATGCTTCCTCGGTATCATTTGGTGGGATAAATTTCAGTTGATAGTTTAAGATTCATTGATAGAATTTCGTTGATTTGATATGGAAATATCATCTTTGTAGATTAGTTGATATTTTTGTTCCTATCTATTTTTTTCCCAAAAATTTTGGGTGGTAATTTTTCGTACATAAATCAAATGAATGTGGTGGGTAAAGTTAGCAGTTTTATTACAAAAGGAATGTACTCTGTTGCCACACCGTTTCATCCATTTGGTGGGGCAGTTGACATAATAGTTGTCCAGCAGCAAGATGGAACCTTCCGGAGCACGCCTTGGTATGTACGATTTGGTAAGTTTCAGGGTGTTCTTAAAGGGGCGGAGAAAGTTGTCCGAATAGAAGTTGATGGAGTTGAAGGCAATTTTCACATGTGTCTAGATAATTCTGGTGAAGCATATTTTGTCAGGGAAGTTGTTTCTGACAAGGACGAAAAGGCAAGCGAAGTCTTAAAGGATTCTGATAATCTTGAAGGCACCAATATTGATAATTATTCAGAAGACAATAGTTTTCTTATACAAGAGGCTAATGGTTTTGATAATGGTGAAGTAGAGGTGCTAGACAAATGTGTTACTCTTGGCAGGGATCGATTGGAGATGAACGAGTCTGACAGTGAGCGGGTATTCTACGAGTTTCAAGATGAACAATCTTCTCTAGAGGGTTCTATTGAGTTATCGGAATATGATTCCAGTAGATATGATAATTTAGATGGTGAGGAGCATGTGATAGAATCACACACTTCGAATTCAGAAGTAGTTCTGGTGAGTGTGGATGGGCGCATACTGACGGCACCCATCTCATCTTCGGAGAGGAATAGTGAAAACTTGCAACTAAGCACGCCTCAGTTTCACCTTGGTCCAGGTGAAGGGTCCGAAGAATACAATACCAGTGAAGTTCCATGGACCACTGGTTATTTGAGTGATTTGGACACCTCTACATGTAAAGCTACTTCCGAACATGCACATAAGGTTGACAATGGCAGTCAAGCTTCTGAAGGAGGTGAAGGGAATCTCTCTAACGTGCTAGAAAGCCAGAATGCATCTAACCAGGGCAGAGACTTTTGCAAGGGAAGTAGTTCAGAAAACACTTCCAATAGTTTTGAGAGGGCCGATGTTTTCAAAAGCTGTTTGGAGCTCCATGAATTGGCGGTGCAGTCTATGAATGCCATTCAGAAGGACACAGGTTCTTCAATGCAGATTCATGAGTTTGCTGAAGATCTAAATGAGAAGTCCCCTCGAAGTCCTTTGATAAATGATGAAACTGAAGAGGGAAATCTAGGAAAATCAACAAATCAAAATGGATTATCTCCCTCATATTCTGACTATCCCAGCACTGTTTCTTTGAAAGATTTGCCAGGTGAAGTTGAAACCTACGAAAAAAAGGCATTTGATATGGATCTGAATGGTACTGATAGCATACCTACTGATCAGAAACCAGCAGAGAATCTGATGGATGCAGATTTAGAAGCCAAAGGAATGCAGGGTGACCTGCAAGCACCTGTTTCTGAAGATGAATGCCGTCAAGGCGAACATCTTGACTCTCATTCTAGAGCTTCAATTGAAGACATGAAAGTGGGCTTCAACACTGGTAAGGCATGCCATCTTGATATTATATTAAAATTGGAATAACTCCGTCATTTGATTTTAGTACTCTTTCACAGCTTCTCTAATCATATTAAATTTGGAATAACTCTGTTATTTGATTTTAGTACTCTTTCACAGTTTCTCTAATCATATTCAATATGTTATGGTAGGATTAGAGATATCTCTTTGTGGGAACTTGCTTCGCGCTGGCATGGGTTTGAGTGCAGCAGCGGAAGTTTTTGACCGAAACTGCATATCGGTGGAGGAATTTAAAGTTTCTGCCTCATCAATTGTTAAAAATGAAAATTTAATTGCTAGAATTCAAGGGAAATACTTAATATGGGATAATGCTGCTCCCATCATTCTTGGACTGGCAGCTTATGGTTTGAATTTACCTGTTGAGCTGGACAACATAATTCCAGTGGAACAGGAAGCAACAGAAGCCAAGGTTGATGAATCTGGATTGTCTTCAACTCCTTCTGGACGCACGTGGAGGCTCTGGCCAATTCCATTTAGGCGGGTCAAGACACTTGAGCATACTGGCAGCAACTCATCAAACGAGGAGGTCTTTGTTGATTCTGAATCTGTCTCAGAGAGCCAACTTGTCGAACCAACTCCAACTCCTCGTGCTACCAGCAAATCTCCTAGGAAGCAAGTTATAAGAACAAATGTTCCCACCACTGATCAGATAGCTTCTTTAAATCTCAAAGAAGGACAGAATATGGTGAATTTCATCTTCTCCACAAGGGTTCTTGGAAGTCAGAAGGTCTGTAGTTTGTTTCTTGGTCAAATGTTTGTGCTATAAAATAGATAATTGGTTTGTCTAGATACCCTTTAATACTGTAACTAATCTACAAGTTTCTGAAACAGGTTGAAGCTCATATATACCTGTGGAAGTGGAATACACGAATTGTAATTTCTGACGTTGATGGGACGATTACTAAGTAAGATTAATTTGCCCATTTTGAAATATTTTTGTGTTGTGCTACTTTTTAATCCAAATTATAGTAGATATTGAAATGCCTCTTGATTATATTTCAAGCTTGTTTATTTGGAAAACACAGAACCGATAATGTGAATGTCTAAATCTAGAAAATATGTTTTAAAGGAAGCTATTAGCTAATTACAATTAAGTTTACCAATATCTTGGTCTTCAAAAAATTTGGGATGTGAGAAGTGATGTAGTACATTCCTACTACATTAAATAATTTCATACTATTTCTACTACTAATATGTTTTATTTTTTTTAAAAGTTTATTTTCTATTTGGTTTTCTTGTGATAGGACTTTTATATTTTATTTTATTAGGACTATATTTTCTTTATTGAATAGAATAGGAGTTTTAATTAGATTAGAATTTTATTAGTTTTCTAGTTTCCTTATTTTAATTTCTGAATACTACTAGGAATAGGAGATAATTTGCCTATAAATATAGGAGTATTGTACACTTTTCAACAACAATCAATTATTTTTCAATATATACGTGACATGATTGTTCAAATATCGTTTTTATTCATTACGTAATTCTTAGTATAAGAATTTTATCAACGCTTCCACACCAAAATTGGTATCAGAGCAAGGAAATTGCCTTAACGATGGTCCTGGTGGCAATCGAATCGCCGACGACGAACAGAGGCTCGACAATCTCGAACAACGAATCGAGGAGATTGACGAAACCCTTCACAATATCACGCAAATTCTAATTGCGTTGAGTCTCGAAAGGAATCGCGAGCTCATGGAGAAGCAAGCTGACAAGAATTTACAAGCAAGCTGACAAGAATTTACAGACTTTAACTGTTATGAATGTTAGTTGTTTCAACAAGCACAGAACATGGCAACATGTAGCTAGAAAATTTCCTCCAAGTCCCAGTCAAGTTCGAACACACACAAGTTATCAAGAATTCTTTTTTCAACAAAACTCGAGGACGAGTGTTTTTTAAGTGGAGGGGATTGTTGTAGTACATTCCTACTACAATAAATAATTTCCTACTATTTCTACTACTAATATGTTTTATTTTTTTTAGAAGTTTATTTTCTATTTAGTTTTATTGTAGGACTTTTATATTTTATTTAATTAGGACTATATTTTATTTATTGAGTAGAATAGGAGTTTTAATTATATTAGAATTTTATTAGTTTTCTAGTTTCCTTATTTCAATTTCCGAATACTACTAGGAATAGGGCAAAAATATAGGAGTATTGCACACTTTTCAACAACAAACAATTGTTATTTAATATATACGTGACATGATTGTTCAAATACCGTTTTTATTTATTACATGATTCTTATTATAAGAATTTTATCAACGCTTCCGCACCAAGAAGACTAGATTTCCAATTCAGCAAGGCGGAAATGTCTGGCACTTACATTCATGATGCTAGCTAAGCAGTCTGACCTATTTTTGAGTTGGAAGGCTTGCTGTAGATCCTGACCTTAATAGTTCACTGTTTCTAGATATAATAATATTTTTATCATACTACTGTGAAAATCTGCAAAAGATTGTGTAAATCTATCTTGTTTATCAAACAGTATTGGTGGGTGGTGGGTGGTGGGACTATCACAATGTCACTTAAAATAGATGTTACGGTTTTGGTCCTAGTTGATATTCCAGAAATATAAAGTACCACATCTACAAGGAATTATAAACATTTTGATTAGGATAAGTGATGTTTTCACATTGCCGATTTTTCATCATAGAGATTGCAGGGAAGGAAGCAATGGAACATAAACTGGTCTCATAGCAAAAGTTTGTAACCAAACTTGCCAGCAATACACAATTCAAAACAAATTTACCATTCACAATTTTCTATGGGATTGTTCATCTCTGGTAACTTAAGATGGTCCATCCACTTTCCCTTGGGGTTGTTTTTTTTTGGAAAGCTTAAATGGGTCGAATAACCCATTAACATGAAATATGATTTATATTTTGTCGTATTATTCAATCAAATTATCTATGGTGTAGCAAAGATAGATTTCCAATATCCCATGAAGGCTGTGCTTCATATGTGCTTGTTTTCCAGGTCTGATGTTCTCGGTCAGTTTATGCCTTTGGTTGGGAGGGACTGGACTCATTCTGGAATAGCTCGTCTTTTTTCTGCAATTAAGGTAATTTCATAAGATGTATTATTATTTTTTGGCCTTGGAGTCATCACCTCCTTTATGGTGTTTTCTTGGTCTTGTTCCTAGCAAAACTAAAGGGTTTTAAATCATATGGTTTCCTTTCCTAGATGTACCGAATTTAAATAAACCAAGCATGAAGTTTGATATGGACTGATTTCCCGAAAACAAAATATGCAAACTGGAGGGTTGATGTGGACTAAATTCCACGAACAAAGATGCGAAATAGCAAGAAGTCGAGGTAAACTAGAGGGTTGTAATATTTGAACAAACAAAATGCAAAAAAGATGTCTAAATTGTTTGTCTATAGAAAAAAAAAATGCAGGCACTAGTATATAAGAGTTTAAAATTAATTAAGAAATTTGGTATGGACTGACTTCCCAAAATCTGATGGTTTTGAATCTCTGATAATGCCAGAAAGAGATTTATATCTGTAAGATAAAATTCCCTATGTTTAAGGTACACACACCAAGTTGTATGTTTGATTCAGATATGAAAATTGTGAACTTTATTTTCTCCTACAGTGGAGCAGGTGACTAATTAATTCTAGTTGAAGATTTAAATCTTGCTCAAGGGTTTGTTGAGTCTACATAATTGGAGGAATCCTTGTCCCTTGAGTTTCTTGAAGGCATTGGGATATGACAATGTTTGCAATTGATTCCCCTAAACAAGGGAAAAAATCTTCCACCTAGAGTATATAAAATATGTGGTTAAAGTATATAATATATGTGATTTTATTTGAAAAGGGGTAATGAAACCTAAGAAGCATGAATTTGGATATGTATTTCGAATACAATATGAGTAAGTTGATACAGTTTTTTAAAAATTTCCTTATTATAAAAAACATTAAAAGTTTTAACACTATTATTTATTTCAAATTATAAAACTATAATTGTAACTATTAACATGATTTTACGTGTATTAAAAGTTTTAATACTATTGTCTATTTTCAATAATAAAATTCTGGTTGTCAATTAATTTAAAACTCTAGTTCAATTATTTAATATTATATTTATTTTCAGTATTAAGTGTAAACTGTATAGTTATCTATTATTTTAAAATTAATTTACTTTATTTGAAATTGTTAATTAATAAATATTATATATTCAAAATAAGTCATTGATAATAACAATAATTAGCTATTACATAAAAAAAATTATCAACTATTGTCAATAATAATGAGATCTAAAAGAGTTGAAATTCGATAAACTCTTCTTATTCAATTGTCCTAATGTGTCCAATACTTACCAAAAATTTATAAATATAAAATAAATAAATAAAATGCTGCAAGTACGTATTAGAGCGTGTCCAAGCGTATCCAAGCTTAGATATGTATCCATATGCAAAGACACAATAAGTTTACACGTATTCATGCTTCTTAGAATTAAAATTGAAAAATGAAAAAGGACTACATACACAAGAGATAGAATATCAAAGTTGTCCATACATGGCAATTGTGGAATAGGTGGCTTAAACTTATTAAAGAAATTGGCTCTATGTATGCTCATAGCAATTAACTTATAAAAGAATTGAATTTATTTATGCTGATTAATGATGGATAAAGTGTTTCTATTGAAGATGCCATTTTTTTCCATTTTACATTTCTCACCAATTTTATTCAAGCTTTAATGCCTCATAGCGTTGTTTAAAAAATAAATTGGATTAAATCTGCATCTTTCCTATGTTTAATAAACATAGTGAAAGTCAGACAAAAAAAATCCTATGCTTATGCACAGTCATTTTAACAAATCTCAAGAACTTTCTTATGACTATACATAAGCTGCAACCACATCATCTTTCTCAAGCCAGTCTAAATTCGCCTGAATTCAATGAATCTAATTAATTTGTTAACGTGTTTTCCATAAGCGGGAATTGCTGTAACCTCATGTGTTTATTTGCTTGCTTGATCTTCATTACTTCTCTAAAGTTTATGTTTTTCTCGTGTATTTATATGTTTGTTAGATGATAAAATTGTAATGACAATGCAGTTACTGATGCAAATTGGATATTTTGATTTTATGGTTACCTAAAGTTTTTAATCGAATTTATTGTATATGTTGAACGCTTTCTTATTACAGGAGAATGGGTATCAGCTGTTATTTCTGAGTGCACGAGCGATTGTTCAAGCATACTTAACTAAGAATTTTCTATTCAATCTAAAGCAGGTATATTGTACTCTGACCCATAGTAGTATTAGCCTTTTAACATACATAATGGTTTTTTTGGATTGCTCCATTTTCAGCCGAGGAGATTTGTCTTAGTTACCTTTTTACATATCTTAGTTGACTAATATAAAGCCTGTTTGACAACCATTTTGGTAGAAAAAAGAGTTTTGAATGGTAATTTTTAGGGGAATGTGTGATTAAAAAGTAGGAAAAAGTTTCTAGTATATGTATATAATATTTTATTGTTTGAATGTGTGGTTAAAAATTGTCCTATAGCAAATTATAAAATAAATTAAAGAATGTCAAATAGGCATATATTCTAGCTTTGACTTCCCCTTCTTTGAACTTTTTTTTTTTTTTTGAGTAATATAAACAAAAAATTTTATGTGGCTCATCATAAAATTTTGACATCTTGCATTACATTCACGTCCTGCAATTGTTTATGAGCAATATTTTCTTTGCCTTGTCAATGTTGCGACTTTTCCATGGTCTTTTTGTGGTGAACTTGAGAATTTAACTAGCACTACAACCAAATTCCATGTGGTGAAACATGTTCATAATGCTTGCAGGATGGAAAAAGCTTACCAAATGGACCTGTTGTGATTTCACCTGATGGCCTATTTCCCTCATTGTACCGGGAAGGTATGATCCTTTCCCCTAATTATTAGTAGACTTTTATTAACATCTAAATGTTCCAACGGCATAAGAAACAAAAGTGAAACTCTTTTCGAGTCAAAAACATTTTAATTCTGCTACTAATAAGAAGAATTTACCGGTGTTTTTTCGTTGATGGCAGTTATAAGAAGAGCTCCTCATGAGTTCAAGATTGCCTGTTTAGAGGTAGGTTTTACTGTGACGGGCATGGTTTATTGGTGAAGCATTTAATTATTCTTCAAATTTTAAGCTTCCTCTGAAAGTGTAAACCCCCTTTTGCAGGATATCAAAGCACTTTTTCCTGCCGACTATAACCCGTTTTATGCGGGTTTTGGAAACAGAGACACCGATGAACTCAGTTATCGGAGAATAGGGATCCCGAAAGGCAAAATCTTTATCATTAATCCCAAGGTAATTATCATTCTATATATATATATATATATGTGTGTTTTAAATCTTGTTCGTTGTGCCATCCAACACCACATATCAAACATGCATGTGACCACGAAACTGCAAGTTTATTTTTTCATTTTGTTCCATCTATAATGTTCATTTACGCTGACAGGGTGAGGTAGCCATTAATCACCGTATTGACGTGAAGTCATACACTTCATTGCATACTCTGGTGCATGACATGTTCCCACCAACATCACTGGTCGAGCAGGTACTACTGTGACAGAAATACCAATGACAAAAATATTTGGACTGAAATTTCATTTTTTTTTTCCATGGTTTTCTGCGTATAATACAATCTCTTGTATGCATTATCCATGCAGGAAGATTATAACTCGTGGAATTATTGGAAAATGCCCTTGATAGATATCGAAAACCGGTAGAAGTTTTCTTTACTGGTGAGCAATGTTGGACAAATTTCTTCTCTACCAGGATTTTGGTAATCATTCCCAGTTTTGCTGTAAAACAAGGTTCTAGCAAGCTCATTTAAATGTAAAAAAACTCGTTATTGTAATGAACATGCGCGTAGCTCATAAGCTCCTCATGTACGAATAATTTCTTGTTAGTTTTCCCTCATGATTCTTTTACTTCCATTTTTCGGTCTATGCTATTAGTCCTTTTATCGGCATGCCTGTTTTTCTTTGTACGTTTCTTCTGGGGATAACTGCCTAGTATGATGCACGATTTTGCAAGAATGGATGTCGAACACTTGATTGAAAATTTCATTTTTTTTTTTTATGGGATGAGTAAAGAGGATGAAAAAGGATCTTTTGCACTTCGGCTATTAAGCGAGCATATTTCCCTTTACAAGTTTGCTACACGAATCTTTTTCTTAACTGTGTTCTATTTATGTTGAGATTCTTGGGAACATTTAAAGCAATTAGGTTTTTAGCACCGACATCTTATTATTGACTTGAGTTATCGAGATCGTACCACTATCATGAATTGAAATCACTTCGAGTTAAACAAAATTACATATCAACTAATTAAGTCATCACTTTGTTTAATTTATCCAAAATCGGCACTACCCGACCCTATTGATGTCTACTTTCATTTTTTATGCACTTCAAATATGATAGCGTCCATCTAATTGTCCTTATTTCTTATATCTTCATCTCAATTTTAGGGCTGATTATTTTTTAAGCATATATATTGATATTTGAAGATCATAGCTTAACATTTTTAACTTTTCATATTTCAGTACTTATTATTCAATTTCAGATTCATCTTTAGAATGAAATTAAGAGTCAAAACAAGACTCTCTCTTTGCTTTTGGAAGTTTTATACGAATGGAAAAAGGCCCTTTTCTGAATTGTTCTTTTCTTAGTAGGCATCACATTCACGTGTCAGATTCACTTTTTATCAATTTTAAGCCAAAGTTTTGGGCCACATCGGAAAAAGAGGTCGGACCCTACACTTTTAACTTTTTAGTTTGTCAGATAAGTTCATGTGACCATTCTAATGCACAGTAAATTTTATTCTTATATCCTTCTTTTTTCTGTAATATTCACATGCACGAATCCTTTAGTAGACTTCATATGCATTTCAAGAAAATCTTGTTGAATATAAGTTCTTTTACTGCGTTCCCAGAATTGACATAACACAATTTGGTGGAAGGAGTTTGATAATTTTGAGTATTTGACTAGACGTAGAGATGAACCGATAGAATTATAGAATTTAACTCTCGATCATTTTCCCAAAACAATAAGTTCACTTACTTAAGTCTCCGTTGGGAAAGAATTTATAAATGGTTTATTTCATAAATAAATAAAAATGAGTGGAATATAAATATTTGAGGGTTTTGCTTCACGTACACCGAGCAATTTGATGTATAGCCCCCCTCTTGATTATTTTATTCGATGCGGGCTTCCCTCTCTTGTGAGGGATTTGTACAACAAGCTGTCAAGTTCGGTCTACAAATGTCAAAACCCAATGATTAGTACTTTTGGGTCATTGAAATGTTGTGGTTGAAAATGCATTTCACTTCAAACGGAGGTGTGATTCAAAATGGATTTTTCTGAGCGTACAACTTTGTTTTTTATAGAATTAAAAAAGGGAGACAGTAGAAGCTTTAGGCTAGCACGCCAAAAGAAAAAATTAGGTCGATTCACTTCAATCTCCACTCTTACCTTAAGGCTTGAAGGTTCTTGGCCGAAATTTCCAATAACAAGATTTAGTTTGTTGTCTTTTATTTATACGATGTGTTTAATTCTCATTTTTTATTAATTTGTATTTTCCTAAGTAATCTCCCTACACAACTTTTCACAAATTAATTGATTGTTTTGGTATGGGATTTGTTTAATTGTGGCCAACAATAAAAAGTAAGTACAAAAAGATTATTACACGAGTATGGAACAAAAGCCTCGAGCCTTGGGTGCAAAACTTTGCACTCTACGATGTTTGGACACTAATAAAATGCGGGTTTTGACCAAGTCAATAAGGCTATCAATAAGTGCTTATTTCTTGCAATTTAATTATAAGTTGGGGGTGCAAAAAACCAGGTTTTGAGGAATGGGCTTATTTCGAATTCAAAGTTTTTGTTTCAGACCGTTGTGGGTGTTGCAGGGATTATTCAATTCTTACATCTCATCTCATTATAATAAAGCTGATGCTTTTGGACTCGAGTGGAGAACCAAATTTCTATAAATCAATACAAATTCGTTTTTAGAACTGAAAAACATATATATATGCCCCGTTTGGTTCACATTAATGTAAAAATAAGAATAAAAAATATAATTGTTACGGACCTCACACAAGAAATAGAAAGTCAAATATGATGACTTGATGTGATGGATAACGATCAAATTATTCATTTTAATGGGCAAATAATGGGAAACAAACGGGGACATAGTGTCGACTTTTGTGTAATGAACTCATTCTAGATGGTGTGTAGAATTGTAGAAGAGAGTTTTGTGACAAACTCTATTATTTTTCAGTCCGATCTTATTAAGTATAGTAAATTTTAAATTAGATTAGTACAATATAAATTTTCGTAAGTGATTTTTTTTTTCCCAAATATATAGGGCACATGGGCTAGTTTAACTGAGGTGCGGGCTGGGCACTAGTGTACGGGCAAATTTTTATTCTCTGACATGTTAGGCACATCCCGCGATTTACCTCCCTCACGATACTTTAAGGGCAACGCAATGGGGGCCCCTCATGATTTGGGTTCAACCTTTGAACAAATAAAACATATTAGACTTCTTCGTTGCACATGATACTCATGCAAAACAATCAAATCGGAAGGTTTAGTCTTAATTTGACAAATTTATAAATCAATTTATAAAGAGTGTATTCCACAAATTGTGCGAATAATAAAATGAGGATTACTTATAAATGTGTGGTTGAAATTAATATTTAACCTTAACTGAATTTAAAATTTATTGCCAAAAGGAGGCTAAGCTCGTCCTCTTTGTAGATGATGTATTTCATGCACGTTTGATGATTAGTAGCTGCCAAGATTAAATAGTACGTAACAAAATTTTAACTTTTTTCCACCTTTTTTGTCATTGCTGTTGAAGGCATTGTGTACGAGCCGTTGTATCTTTATCAATACGATATTTTGGTTACAATAATTTGAAGAATTAAGCTAAATTGACTGAAAATCATTGACAGAAGTCTTGATATCCTCTTATATGCGTGTAGAACCTGCGTGAATAAGAAATTTCAAAAAAAGTGGTTCCATTTCCTATCGTGAGTATGCGATTAGGGAGGCTGTCAATCCCTTCTTATCAGTAGGGGTGGGCGTGGGTTGGGTTGGGTTGGGTCGGTTTTTACCCCAACCCAATGTGGTCGGTTTCACCAAAAACCAACCCAACCCAACCCAGGTAAATGTTGAAACCCAACCCAATCAAGTGTCTGTCGGGTCGGGTTTGGTTGATCGGTTTGAGCAAAATGTTTAACTATAATCATAAGTGTGTGCCTGTGTGTAATTTTACTGTGTTTTACTACAGAGACCATTCAATTCCTAACAAACTGAAAATCACATTCAACATAAATGAAAGTAAGACCATCCTCACATCTTGTAGTAAAACACAGTAGACTCACTAGCTGTACACGAAGGAATGAGATGCTCATCTATGATAGTCATGATGTCACTGCAAATGTTGATGAGCTCTTACTCCACCTTTTGCCCGTAATCCTTGATTCACTTAGCATTCAGCTCATTCCCTTTGGATTCCTTCTTCTACTCTATTGAAGATAATATTCTCCATGAAGCTCTCCTAGCAATTTAATCTGCAAGGAACGTTAACATTACACAGACACACATCTTAAAAAGAAATATAAAAAATATTTATAATACATATTCTGTATTAGGTATATCTCAGATTTATAATTCATATCCTACTCAACAAATTAATCAAAATACAAAGTTTGAAACTGAAAATGAAAATTAAAGCATTCTAAAATTCTGCCTCCCACCACCATATATTATTCCCTATTCCACAAAACACAAGTTTAAGACTAATAAAAATGAAAATTATCGTAAAAGTGTCAAATGTGATTAAAATAAAATCACATTCTAGAAATCTGCCTCCCACCATCATTTATTTGAAGTAGCTATAATTGATGAACATTTGATATTCTATAAATTATAGCAGGACCTGAAGGTTGAGGCAGTTAAAGTTTCAACGATTCCAACAGGCAGCAGCTTTGTGGACAAGGGCAAAGGCTAGACGAGCTATCAAGTCTCGAGTCAAGAGTCGAGCAAAATATGAAAAGCAGACAAAAAAATTACAAGATGTCAGCAAGATCTTACGTTCATTAGGGAGAAAGCGGTATAGAAAATGAGAAAATATACTTACCTTAGTATTGGAGTGTGGACAAAATGATGACCGGAAACTGGAAAACGCCGATCGCCATTGGCTATTTGAGAGAAAATGAAGTGAGATAGATTGGGGCTTGAAGATTGAAGACGAGATGGAGAAAGTGAGAAACTTTAGGGCAACAAATTGGGGCTTGGCCTTTCTTTCCTTTTATTATGTCGATTTTCTTTTTTTTCTTTTTTCTTTTTAAATGTGGTCGGGTTGGGTCGGGTTTTACTTGTTAACCCGCAAACCGACCCGACCCGACCCGATTACTCAACCCATATCCCGAAAACCGTCCAAAAATAGCAAAAAACCGACCCAAACCGATCGGATCGGTCGATTTTCGTGGGTTGATTGGTTTTGCCCACCACTACTTATCAGTGAGCAAAGTTGTAATTTGAAAGCCTAAAAATTATTTTCTATTTTTCTTCTTAGTAAGAGAAATTTTTACTGATTTTTTTCCATGCTTTTCTGAATTGGAACCATCTCTCTTTTAAAGGATTCTCTGCCCGAGCATTTTCCTCCTCTACACATCTCCCCATAACCAATCAGCTTCAAAACACACACTAACACACGCAAATCCACCCACACTAAGATTCACAATCTGTTCTTACACAAAAATGGCCACAAATCTTGAGTGCCCAGATGAAGATTACATAGACATGGAATTATGTTCATCATCCCTAAACTTTGCAAATTCTTCACCAAAAAGCAGGGATTTTGAGTTTCAAATGTCTTCCGTTTGTAGTGAAAAAGACACTACAACTTCTCCAGCTGATGAACTGTTTTACAAAGGCAAACTTCTCCCTCTCCACCTCCCTCCACGACTGCAAATGGTGCAAAGTCTCCTTTCCACCACCTCCAGCGGCGGCGGCGCCACCAATAAAGAGGGTTCCTTCCCATTCGTTAGTTCTTGTTCTACAGCACCTTGTACCAACACAAACACCCCATTGGACTCATGCAACATTTCTCCTTCAGAATCATGTAGGGTGAGTTGTGAACTGAACCCGGATGAATATTTCTTTGAATGGTCCACTGAATTAAGCAGTTTCATAAAAAATAATCATAATCGTCATCCGAAAAAAAGTTGGACCTCCAAAAGGCTCAAGTTTTTCAAGCATTCTATATTGGGTACAAAGCTCAAGGCTTCAAGGGCTTATTTGAAATCTTTATTCAGTAAATCTGCTTGTTCAGAAGCTGAAACCTTGCCCAAAACTGAGAATTTTTCAAATAAGTACTTTAAAGTAGCCCAGAAAAATCCAACAATAGGTTCTATAATCGAGAACATTGAGAAAGAAAGGATTGAGGATAATGTTCATAGAAGATCATTTTCAAGTGCAATCAAACGACATTCTCCAACAAAGTGTTTGTCTTCATCCTCCTCGAATTCATCCTCTGCTTCTTCGTCTTTTTCGTATAATTTGAACAATGTTCATGAGTTGCATTTACTCAAGAGGAGCAGTAGTGCACCTGAGAATGAGGGTTCTATTGAGGCAGCCATTGCTCACTGCAAGAAATCTCGACAGCTTCCGGATTCAATAAATGCATCAAGGGATTCTGCATTTTGCAAATTTTCAGATTCCAAGATTGCAGATGATGAGGATCGAGAAAAATCACTTGTTCTATGTTAGCATTATTTTACTGTCGTTTGGGTATAATTGAAAAGTAAACTCGCAATGTAAGCTGGTTTTACGGTGATGAGTTAGGCTCGTGTACTTTTCTCATGTTATCCGAGCTTGTGTAGTCGAAGAAAACCTTGCATTGTAACTCGATTTAACGATAATGAGATAGATAATGTTCCTTTTCATTTTTTTCATCATTTGAATTTCATTAATTCTGATGTATGAAAAACGGATAGATTTCAAGAAAGTCCATTTCTTGCTGAAATCTTGTATTGTACGGCCCGAATTAGGCTAAGGATTTTGCTTTGTTTCTGTATAGACAAGTCCAGTTTGTTTAATTATTGCCTATTCAAGAAAAAGAACTACTGTGCTAGTTTTTCATTCATCAAATTATTATAGTTTGAAACTGTCTCTGCTGTTGGCTTATTTTTAGTGGCAAATCCACTGGTGAAGTCCAGTGAAGCCTATGCTAGAGAATCTCTCCAAAAGATAGGGCTCTATTTGTTACTGTTACTGCAAGTCTGCAACAAGTGTATCTTTTCCTTGAAAATATTTCTTTTCACTAATCTATTCGATTTATTACCACGTTTATTTATTTGAACAAAAGGTCTAAGACATCAAGATTCTTACCAATACGTACTCTTCCCACTCTAATCATATTGATCTAAAACCATCTCACTTTTACGAAATGTACCGTTCTGGGTTACATGTGATAGTCTCGACTACTTAAGTTGTGAGTGTGACAATACTCTGGTTGTGGTCTTTTATTGTCAATGAAATACTTGCTTTAGGACTAACCAAAAATAATACCTGGGAAAGTAAAAGAGAAGAAAAGTAACACTTTTCAGAGAAGAAAAAAGGTCAGAAAATTGGCTTTAACTCACTTTTATATGGCTGCCTTTTGAGCAGAAGTTACTTTAAACTTTCTACTTGAATGGATAATGCAATTTCTGGATGTTGTGTGCATATCAGCAGTTATTTCAAGAAATATTGCGAAACCAGTATTTGAACTAATATGCTAGAACACTTCGAAATGCTAAAATCATAATATCGTCTATAGGAATCTGATGAGTTATTTTGAAATCTGAAATACTTGCAAGTTTATCTACAATACTTGGCCAAAAAACCGGCCCTCTCCTATAAGCAGAAAAGATGAGAATCATATATACTAAGCAGACAATCTAGTCTGTGTCTCCTCAGAAGAGAATTGGACTCTATTTTCTCGAGAGCCCGGAATAACTAAATCATAGAGCGTAAAGTTTCTTATACTCGTCATCAGGAATCTCAGAATCTGTCATCACTGACACGGACCACGATTGTGATCGACTATTTCTTGCAGACCTTCGGAGGCTCCTCAAGTTGGAAGCCTCAATCCTGTGCATGATCACCCAGTAACACAATGTTCCTAGTGTGGTAGCCATTATCAAAGTTCCTATAATGGTCACTCCAATGGCCAACCATCTCTCATTTTTCCCCACAATGATGAAGCACAGTGCAAGAAACGCTGCGGATATGAACGCGCAAGCCAGCCACATTAGCTTGTTAATGACAGCCATCATTTGCTTCTTCGCTTTCCTCTCTACAACTACCACAGAAGTCTGCACTACAACAACCGCTAATGATATAAAGAGTGCAAGAGAGTCAAATATGAAGAAGATCGTGAATTCGATGTCTGGAGCAATATTTGCTTCTCCTTGAGAAAATCCTGGGGGAACTTTTTTAGGGTCATCAGCATACTGGCCCGGAAGTGTAAAAATGGCGGCAAATGCAACTGTAGCAATAAGAACTGCAACAACTGTAGTGGAGGTAATTGCATTGTTAAGCCCTTCTGCATGCATTTTGTTAAGCCTTTTGGCTATACCTCGCATCCGTCTTCGAGTTTGTCGTGTGTGCTCGAGCTGGTCATGAACTTCGTGTTTTATGTCACTTACTGTTTGTTTTAGTTCTCTTGCTGCAATTGGTGCTGGTTGTGTTTTTATGTATTTTGCACTCTGAACTCCATATTCTTGAAGAATTGTTGCAATATCTGAATGTCCGGTTTTCTCAGCAGTGTCAATGGCCGTCTCACCAGACTTGTTGACGGCTTCTTTATTAGTCCCGTTGTGTTTTACTAGAGTCCGGACAATCTGTAACGATTAAAACAAGAATCAATTGAGAGAGAGTTATTTTCTCCTTGAATTATTTTCCTTTTGCTCGAAAGCTAGATTCTTTCAATAAAATACTTCTAATGAAGAAATTATATACCTGTGCTCGACCCTTTCTCGCCGCTATATGCAATGCAGTATTGCCCTTTCCATCAACCATTGTAACTAAAGCAGGATCTGATGCAACAAGTGCTTCAATTACTTCAGTACTGTGCCCTTTAGCAGCCATATGAAGAGCAGTCTGTCCCTTCTTATCATTCCATGTAGCAATGCGTTGTTCTTTGCTTAAAATGGCCTTCACCACCTCAAAATGGCCATTTCTTGCCGAAGAATGCAAAGCTGTTTTCCCATTATTCCGCGCTATGGTAGCGAGACTGCTGTTATTCTCCAAGAGGAAATCAACCACCTCAATGTGGCCTTGTGCTGCTGCAGTGTGCAATGCTGTCGTATTTGATTGATCCACTGTCGCCAACAGTTGTGGGATGGCCTCCATTAGGATCTTCAATACTCCTGCGGCCGACATCTGTTTTGTTAGAATTCTTGACCAATCTCCAAGTTCATCATGTAGAAGTTAACCAAATAGAATGAAACTCTGAACAAATATTTAAACATTTTCTCTCTGAAGTACTCCATTATCAAACATGACCTGAGTACTTTCAAGAATCACCAGCTCTTTGAATTATTTGTTTTGGAATCATAATAAAGGGTTTTAACAAAGAAAACAGCCTCAAACTGGTGTGGAATAAACCTAATCCACTCGTTCACTGCTTCAAGTTTTCACTAAAATTGAAAAAAAGAGGTTTTTCAATTAAGATCTCTCAGAGTCTCTGTATCTTCTTCTCTCTATATTGAAACGGCTTCCCCTAATAATTTATCATTGGATAAATGAACAGTATAATTAGACTCAAACGAGGGGGCGGGACGGAATAGAATGTTGTAGAAACTAACCCAGTTCTCGCTGTTTGGCAGCGATATGAAACGCATCGAAACCATTTTTAGCTTTGATTCCAGCAGATCCAAGATCATAGAACTTTATCATCTCCTCCACGAGATCAATCCGACCACTTTCTGCGGCAACATAAAGCGCGGTTTCGCCTGATTGATTCTGCTTAGACAACAATTCCTTCAACTCTTCATCCCCACAATTAGTAATAATCTCCACAACCGCTTGTAAATTCCCTGCTCTTACTGCTGAATGTAATGCAGTATCATCTCTTTTCCCTGTTAACTGCTTCTTCATCTGCTTCTTTGCTGGAACTTCCATCTGATGTACTCTTTTCAAATGAATCCCAGATCGAATTTCACTTATGAGAAAATAATTAAATGTTTAATTGTACAAAATTCTTCCATTGCAATAAAATGGATTCATTTGGGACCTTCAGTAAGTTGTAAGTCAACATTTAGCAATCATGATTTTCGCCAAGCCTGAAAATTTTCAACCCACAAAGCAAAAAGTCAAACTCTCCAATCCATTGCGTAGAGGAATTACTTAATCCTGTGAATATCATTATAATTGTTGACATAAAAAATCGCCGAAAACGGCGATATTGATTAGAATCTACAAATTCTACTTCTGCCAGAATGTTCCTGGAGACAACTGGCGTTTCTTGACATCAACAGTTCCCTCAGGAAGAAAACAGAAGGCAGCACAAAATTAACAGATGAATATTTACCTGGGCTTCAATGAACAGAGATACTTATTAGGATTCATGGACTAAATTGAGAGATAAAAAGCTGTTTTTGCTTCTAAATTTTCTTGGGGACAGAGAATAATGAACAATCAGTCATAAAGGACACGACAAAGAGAGGCGATGGCATGGGGTCGAAAATGGAGAGGCCATAAAAATTAAGAAGGTGGTTTATAATAACTTATTTTTGGATATTCAAGCTTAAAAATAAGCAAAATCACTCTGTCAGATATACTATTTAGGATATTAACAATGATAAGTTAATCAATCAAGTGGAACGTGACTGGTCTTGTAAGTTACTACGTAATTGGTCGTTGCTAATCATGTCTTTTACTTCCTTCCTCCTTTTTTTTTTTTTTTTACATGAATATTTTTTATTTGAACTAAAACGAACCATTTGTTAGCTTTGATATTGTGTTCAACCACGTTTTTTAAAAGTTTGTTAAAAGGGTAATTGACACAAAATGTCTTTACCTTTCATGTTTATTGTGGAAAATGATACCTTTCATTTTTTGGTATTTTTGTCTCTATTTCCACTTTTCTTGGCGTTGAACGTCATTTTCACCAATTTCGAACAATTTTACTCTCCATTCAAATAAAAAAAAAATAAAAGAAAGGAAACAACAAATAATTAATTGCAACCATAGCTCCCAATTTTTAAAAAATTACAAATCAGTCACAAATATATACAAACTTTCAACATAGGTGCCAACAACCATGGGATCCAATTTTCGACACCAAGGCCACCGGATTTTAACACCACCACCATCTCTTCATCAACCTTAACATCCCCACGCAGGTTTCAACCCCAAATCCCAATAAAATCGAGCCAAACTTTGCCCAAAAATCTCCTTTCACGCACGGTATTATTACGAATTCAACCAAATTCATGGATGCTCATGTTCCGTACAATCCACAGGTTGCTCAAGCTCACAAAGGCGCATCCATACATGTTTCAATTATTGCAAACAACCCAAAAAATCGAGATCTACAGCCAATTTCTGAGTCAGCGAACTCGCGGCTGATCTCCTTTTAATTGGCATCCCTCTATGACTCCAAATGCAATTGAAGGTTAAACGATGCTGGATATGGATTTTATTACTTCAATTCATCAGCCAAATGCAACATTTTGGATTTAACCTCACGGAATGTGCGACTGCGCGAAGAGGATAATTCTCCACCAATTCGTGAATTTAATGTGCCCCAACATATGAATCAACCTGGGGAAACTCAAATTCAAGCTCTAAAACACTGGGTAATCGTTCAATTTTAGAAGTTATAGTGTTTGCCAAATTTTGGAGTCAAATGGTATTCTTCACACACTTGAAGAAGAAGGAACAAAAACTACATGCCATTTGTAATTTTTTAAAAATTGGGAGATGTGATTGCAATTAGTTATTTCTTTTTTCCTTTCTTTTCTTTTTGTTTTATTTGAATGGAGGGAGAAATTTTCCAAAATTGGTGAAAATGACATTTAGCGTCAAGAAATGTGGAAACAGGGGTAAAAATATCAAATAATGAAAAATATAAATATTTTTCACAATAATTATGAAAAATAGGGACGTTTTGTGCCAATTACTCTTTGTTAAAAATGTGATCTTTAATGTGCTGTTTACGTGCAGGTCAAATTCAATTTTGGATCGGTCAAGACAAGTGGAAATTGTTGAAAATAAGTGAAGGAAAGGTGGGATAATTACTGTTATCTGATGTGACTGGATCAGTGAAAAGAATGCAAAAAGGTTTGTTGACTTGAAAAGCTAAGCAACTGTAAGTCAAGCCCACCTTCTTTATGAGAGCCCTCGTGGGGTTTATGCATTACGAATTATTAATAGGAGAAATTGTAGTGAACATCCCCAATTTATATGTATTGTTGAAGATTGGTCTTGACTTTTATTTCTTAATATTCAAATTTTCGAGCTTTTAACTTTATAGCATGCACTTGTTAAGAGATAAAACGTACATTGATTAAATACTGAATTATAGATCAATATATAAGGAATTGAGCTAATTTTCTTAACAATATTGACATTTTATGATGAACATTAAATTTTATTATGATATCTAAAATTATTAAACTATAACGAGCAATTCAATTCAATTAATACTCAAATAAACATATGAGTTTTAAGATCGATCTGTTCAAAGAATCCCTCTCTTGCAAGACATGTTTAGATAAAAATTTCATATACGTTAGCACCAACATATAGACCAATATATAAATACTTTAAACTTTTGGTGTTGTAATCCCCTTTTAAGGGGGGTTACAGAGTCTCTCTCTAAGCCATTCAATGTACAAGCTACACTTTTAGAGGAAGCATTGTTGCATCTTCTAATCTAGGAAGTTTTTCCCTTTCCATCATTGACGATATTAAAAATGTAGGTGACACTCCGCAACTCCTTTTCCCTTTTGTTTTGGAATTTTTAGCTTACATTTCTATTTAATTAAGAATAAGGTTGTGATCATCTATTCAACTAAAATTAATTTTTTTTCAACAGTACTATGAAAGGAAACTATTCAACGAGGTCAAAGATAGTACACACTCAAAAAAGTTGAAAACTTGAAATTATGAAATTTGCTATTTGTACACTGAATTTTGACACTTTAGTTGACACTTGTATTGTTGTCAATTGTCAACTTGATGAAAAAACTGTTTGAAATTTAAACTGTCCAATTAGGTACTGATATGTAGTAAAGTGTAAACTAAAATGTACATAATAATGTATATATAGCAATGTTCTAAAATAAAATACGAAAAAAATAAAAATTAGAGTGCATTTACACACAAACTTAGGGCTTGTTTGAGCCACATTATTTTCAAAAAAATAAATTTTTCAACAGTGATTTGATATCATTTTAACCACACATTCTTCAATAAAATAATATTACACACAAATCAAATTTTTTATTTTATTTTTTAACCACTCATTTTTCATTAATTTGACAAGAATAATGTATTTTTTTCTAAAATGTGGCTCAAACAAGGATTTAATAATAAATATGGAGCTGTATTGCAATTTTTCCTTACATTGTGTGACCTGTTTTTGAATTTTGACACTAACTTTGGCGTGTAGTGGGATGAGTCACGACAAAGACAGATAATGGTTTACTTTTAGGGCTGATTCCAAAAATTGCCCTCGACAAAGGAATGTGACTGATTCCTAATCCCACCAGCCAATTCTTTTCCATTCATTAAATTTCAATTATATAGCTCAAAAGGTCGGTTATTAGCCGATATCCGTTTGACAAAATTTATAAATTAGGATAAATATATATGTACAAACGCATTGTTACAAAATGGATTACTCTCTCTGTTGACACATAAAAATTCAGCCCAAATTGAACGGCTCAAAGAATGAAACCCAATTGGAGGATCCCCAAATTAGATAGCCCAAAAAATGAAGCTCAATCAAACAATTCAAGATAAAGGCCCAAATAGGGAGGCCCAAGAACGCTTTAACACCATCGCCTTAGTTTGTAAGTCGCCCAGAATCTGAGCGAATGGACTGTCATGCAGTCGCCCAGAGTTATTACTCTATTCTCGCCCAAACCTTCGAGTCGCCCAAAATCTTAGCAAACATAAAGTATTGTGGTTATCAAGAAGTGTAGTTATCAAAGCAATTATTAAAGCAGCTCTATCACGTTCCACGATTCAAGGAACTTAATTGAAGACGGTTGAATGAAAAAGAGTAATGGCAGCAGTTTGAAAAGGTAGTTCCATAACAAGTTGGCCATTACGAGGAAAATTGGCAGTTATAAAACGATCCAACAGTTTTTAGGCGGTTGATCACAAAGAAATCATCCAAGGAGTATAAAAGGAAGGAAGGACATAGAGTAAAGGGACCGAATCAAAAACATTCGAACAGAGAACATGTAATTTTAAATTTCTTAACTTAGATTTAAACACTTCTTTCAGTAACTCGTGTGCTTGCGCCCCTTGGAGACATTCTGTTTTTAATTCCCAATTGTAAAGTCATCGCCAATAAAGAACACCTCTTTTTGGGATTTTATCTCAAGAGGTTTGTCCTTTACACAATCGTTTGATCCCTTTTTAATTGTTAGCGACGAACCCGCGCGAAACACCCTCTCATAAAAGAAGCGAATCTTACATGAATTTAAAAAATATTGGCTTGTGGTTCCTACCCCCACTGTGAGTGTAAGTAAAATTTTTTGTACAAATTTGTGTGTACAACTAGCATGGTCCTATAAATTAATTGCTATACATTTTTAATGAGTTTATAAGTAATATTCATCTCTCATTTATATTTATTTATAAATTAAAATATTTAAATTTTACCCTGACGAAGAATTAATTTTCTGTTTCCAATTTTAAACATATACAACCCGTATTTGGTTTGGTTAGAAATAATATTTTAGTAAGTTTCGATAAAAATTGATGTAATGTGTGATTGAAAATTTAATAAAAATATGAATGCCATAAATTGTTTTATTAAAAATGAGTTTTAAAAAAAATTGAAATCAAATAGGAACATAATGTATTGATACAGACACAAAACATAAGGACTGGACCTAACTATAAATGATTTATAAAGAAAAATTGACTTCTTGATAGCTAAATTAATAATTTTCCATGATATAAAATTCAATTTCATATAGTTATATAAATCGGAAGCCCAAAACTACGTTTTTGAAGGTTGGGGATCAACATTTACTCTTCCTAAAACATGTGGTATTGAAATTATGAATTACTCCAGTGATTATAATCAAATTTAATATATTTGCCCCTCGTAACATGTACGACCGCATAGCGCAGTGGATTAGCGCGTCTGACTTCGGATCAGAAGGTCGTGGGTTCGACTCCCACTGTGGTCGATTCCATTTTTTTTATTTTTTTTTCCAGAGATATAGTCTACACCATTTATATCAATTTTGAAACCCCTATTATTATATTATTTTACTAATTCACAAAATTCATTTTACTATTTACACACGTCAGAAATAATTAATGATATTTTAATCATATTTCATTATTGATTATCAGAATTTATTCATCTGGTTAAAAATCACGTGCTAGTATTATTCTATTTTGAACTTTATCCTTTTGAATCTATTACTTCTCAATTTATTATTTAAAAAAGTAACTTTCAAAAAAAATAATAATAAATAAATAAATAAATAAATAAATATATATATATATATATTTCTAAAAATTTCTATTTTCATCTAAA